GGAAATGAGGACAGGCCTAGCTGTTATCTGAGGAAGAGCAATCAGCCACTCCACCCAGGACTCAGACTAAGTTCTCGGTAAACACTGACTGAATAAATGAATCATGTAATGATACCAGAGCACAGTGGATCCTTACAGATAATATGGAGCCATACAGGGACTGGGGTTGCTAAGATACAAATACCAAACAATAGAGACCAAAATACTTAAAAGTTTTCTAAAGCTGTTGAAAGGGAGCAAAAAACCCTGAAATTAATGGAATCTTTGAAAAGTGGGGGAAAAAAAAGAATATAACTGTGTTAGCATCCTCTGTGTCTGCCCACCACCCTGCATGTATGCCAGTTTTCCCGATGGTGAGCATGTACTGGCCCCGTTTCCTGCCAGTGCTAGCTAGCCATCATGCCATTAACACCTTCTGCACAAAATTCTCCAAGGCCCAATGTCCTCCTGGAGTTCTGTCTCAGGACTAAACACCTGACTTCTTTACCCACAGGCCTACAGAGGGGACCTTACTATATCTGTTCTATTTCCAGGAAGCTAGATTAATGCTATTCAGTGTGTGGCCTGTGTACCAGTGCTGGTCCACGACAGCCAAGCACTTCCTGCCTCAGCCTCCCAAGAGATAGAATTACAGGAATGCAGCACCCCACCTTGCCAAACTTTAGGGTTTTTGTTTTCTTTGTGTATCTGTGTGCTGGGGGTGGGGTGGTGGTCCTGGGTCTTCAACTCAGGGCTTGGGCACTGTCTCTTTTGTTTTTTTGCTCAAGGCTAGAGCTCTATCACTTGAGCCACACCTCCACTTCCAGCTTTTTAGTGGCTAAATTAGAGATAAGTCTCACACAGCCTGCCTTTCCTGTCCAGGCTGGCTTTAAACTGCAATCCTGAGATCTCAGCCTCCTGAGTAGCTAGGATTACAGCCACTAGCACCTGGAAAACTTCAATTTTTAAAGTCAGTATTTCTCAAACTGGAGTTCTCTCTCTTTCTCTTTGGGGCAGCTTGAACTCAGGACCTGGGCACTGTCCTTAAGCTTCTTTTGCTCAAGGCTAGTGCTCTACTATTTGAGTTACAGCTCCACTTCTGGCTTTGTTTTTTGTCGGTTATGGGGCCTAAACTCTGGGCCTGGGCATTGTCCCTTAGCTCTTCAGCTCAAGGCTAGCACTCTACCACTTGGGGTTTAGGGGACCTCTCATTTGCCAAGCTGGTGTGCTACCACTTCTACTTGAGTCATTCCTCCAGTCCTGCTAGAGTGGTTACTTTGGAGATGGAGTCTAATGAACTTTTCTGCATGGCCTTTGAATCATGATTCTTCAGCTCTCAGCCCTCTAAGTAGGTGGGATTATAGGCATGAGCTACCAGTGTCTGGCATGGAATTCCCTATTCTTTTTTTTTTTGGGTCCGGTCATGGGGCCTGAACTCTGGGCCTTCGCGCTGTCCCTCAGCTCTTCAGCTCAAGGCTAGCACTCTACCACTTGAGCCACAGCGCCACTTCCGGCTTTTTTTCTTTTTGCTTATGTGGTGCTGAGGAATCGAACCCAGGGCCTCAGGCATGCAAGGCAAGTGCTCTACCACTGAGCCACCTCCCCAGCCCTGGAATTCCCTATTCTTAACAATCTGTGACTCTTTTCTTCTTTTCCAATGCACTATTACATTCTGTAAGTTGGAAAACATGTTTTATATATGTCCTTTCTCCAAATATAATCCCAACACTAAGGGGCAGAGGCAGAAGGATCATGAGTTCAGCCTAGGCTACTTAGTGAGACCCTGTCTCAAAAAAGAAGACTTCAGGCTTCAATTGACCCATCCCTTCTGGTGATTTTATAGCTAGATGCATGCATACATCTGCATTCCACCTTATAATATATACATATATATATATATATATATATATATGCACACATGATTTTTATTAAATGTCATTTTCCTTTTATTTTTTCTGATTATTACAACTACAGTTTACTTTTTTTTTCCTTGGTCAGTCTTCGGTCTTGAACTCTGGGACTGGGTGTTGTCCCTGAGCTCTTCAGCTCAAAGCTAGTGCTCTGGTGGTTAACTGGAGATGAGTCTCATGGACATTCCTGCTGGGGGTAGCTTTGAATCATGAGCCTCAGACATCAGCCTCCTAAGTAACTAGGATTATAGGCATAAGCCACTGGCTCCCAGCCTTACTTTATTATTATTATTATTTTTAAAACAGTTCCACACAAAGATTGCATCAATTATGAATGTCATTTTGGAGAAAGGAACGGCAGCAGTGGGTCTGAGTATCAGAATTCACATAGTGCAGGATATCATCCATTGTACAGAAATGGCAGTTAGGAACAATGATAGCAGATCAGAGACCAATCTGGGTTCAAGTACACGTTCAAGCACAATTAGAACTGTGGTTACACTGGAAAGGCTGCTTCTGCAGGCTTCTTTTCTTTCTATAACCATTGGAATAGGTTTACTATGACCTATCTCAGTGCTACTGTAAGGATCAAATGAAAATTAACTTGAAGGTACCAAGAAATGCTGAATACCTATGCTCTCTTCACTTTGCATCTTTCTATAAATTCCTTTAGTAGTAAAGTTACTTGTTAAAAGTTAGTATCAGGGAAGTAAGTATGGTCAGGGCTGAAACATGCTACAGAAAAAATAATCAAACTTGCAACTAAGATGGTGTCTGGTTTAGGAACCAGAGACTTGGCTTAAAGTCTTAACTGTCACCATGGAACTTCTTTTTTTTTTGTGTCGGTCTTGGAGCCTGAACTTTGGGCCTGGGCATTGTCCCTCAGCTCTTCAGTTCAAGGCTAGCACTTTACCACTTGAGCCACAGCACCTCTTCTGGCTTTTTCTGCTTATGCGGTGCTGAGGAATTGAACCCAGGGCCTTATGCATGCAAGGATCTAAACTGAGCCACCTTTCCAGAGCCCCCCCCCCCCTTGTGTTTTTAATTTAAAAGAATCTTTACATTTCCAGCAAATGGAAATCCAGTATTATATTCCACAAAATGAGAGAAATTATTATTATTTTGGTGTTGGTCCTCAGGGCCTGGGTCCTGTCCCTTGAGCTTTTTTTTTTCTTTTCTTCTCAAGGCTAGCGCTTTACCACTTAAGTCACAGCTCTACTTTCGATTTTTTTTTTGTCGGTTGTGGGGCCTGAACTCTGGGCCTGGGCTCTGTCCCCCAGCTCTTCAGCTGTAGATCAGCGCTCTACCACTGGAGCCTCAGCCCCACTTCTGGCTTTTTCTGCTTATATGGTGCTGAAGAATTGAACCCAGGGCCTCATGCATGCAAGGCAAGCACTCTACCACTGAGCCACCTTCCCAGCCCCTACTTCTGAATTTTTTGGGGCAGTTAATTGGAGATAAGAGTCTAATGGGGTGGGAATGTGGCTTAGTAATAGAGTGCATGAAGCCCTGGGTTCAATTCCTCAGTACTATAAACAGAAGACACCAGAAGTGGTGCTGTGGGTCAAGTGGCAGATTGCTAGCCTTGAGCAAAAGAAGCTCAGGGACAGTGCCCAGGCCCTGAGTTCAAGCCCCAGCATTGGCAAAACAAAACAAAACAAGTCTTATGGACTTTAATGCCTGGACTGGCTTTGAACTGTGATCCTCAGATCCCAGTTTCCTCAGTAGCTAGGATTATGGGCAAGAGCCACCAGCCATCAGTGAAAGAAATTCTTTCTAATAAGTACAATAAAATTAAACAATAAATTTTTACTAGACATGATTACGTGTGTTAACTTCTGAACCTGGGGCTTACTCTCTTTATTAAAGTAAGAGCCTGGGGAGGAGGGGGGAGTAGGATTGTGAGTTTGAGGACAGCATGGGCTGCCTATAGAGACTTCGTCATACACACACACACACACACACACACACACACACACACACTCACACAGAGGGAGGGAGATAGAGCAAGTCGGAGGGGGGAGAAAGAGACTGATAAGCGACTAAGGGGTGTTAACAATATAGTATTTCTTGAGATTGCATGAAAATAATTAGAACTGATTAAAAGTTGTTAGTTAATGTTAGTTAAACAGGATATATGTTTATGTACAACCGAAAATGATCTCAAAATCTGTCTCTGTAAATAACTTCCACAGGAAGCATGTGAGGAAGAAGTTGCCTCGACTTTAGGAGGGGAAATGATCGTGCGAACCCATCACATTTCTCTAAATGGACGCTTTGTTTCCTAGCGTCCCAGCTGACCATTACAGAATTTTGTTTCACAGAACGCAGACGATCACATCCACTTGACCGGTGTCACAACGACTAAAGGCAGTAACGCACCTAGAACTCGGTAGAAACTCTTCCTAACGAAGGGCAGGAATAGGACAGACTGTGGATAATCGTACGGAAGGTTAGCGAGTTGACTACCAATATTCACGATTATTATTAGCCCCGTACTGAGACATTTAAAGACATCATCTAATTGATCCCCAAAGCCTGTTCTCCAAGGCAGGTACTGCCGTCATCCTCATTTTACCGACGACGGACGTGAAATACACTGCCAGGACCGAGGCCAACCTACCAGTAGGGGCGCGATGCGAACTCCGGCACACCGGCACTGTGCTGCCCAAGGTCACAGGGGGAGCGAGGTCGGCAGGCCGGGGACGGTACTCACCTGTCGGACACCTGTTCCTGGGTGAGCTTCTTGTCGCTCTGCAGCAGGATGGACACGTAGTGGCGGATCATGCCCACGAAGAACGTGATGATAACGATGGGGAGGACCACCCAGAGGCGGATGTTGGAGTCGAGCAACAGTTCTGGCCCCGCCATCTTCACTGAAAGCCGGCTGCCAAAGCGGGGTAGTCCCGTTCCTCTAAGATTCCGCTTCCGGGCCTTCTCTCGCCCCAATGCTGGGGGGGGGCCCGGGACTCGACGGCAGTCACGACCCGCGGCGCACTGCTTCCAGCTGGGCCGCCGGGCCGCCGACTTCCGTCGCCGAGTCTTGACGTCACGCCGGAGCCCGTTCAACGACGCCACAGCGTCGTTGAGCCAGCGCGGGAAAATCGAAAGCGAGGGGCTGAGTCGGCGTCGCGGCAGTTGAGTGCGGCCGCTGTCGATCTCTCGAAGTTTCGAGTCGCCGGGCCGACCCCAGCCTTTTCTTCTGGGGCCTCGCGCCTCGAACCTCGGTTTGCTCTTCCGTCTCCTGTCGGGATAATCCCCACAGGTACCGCCCGGCGTCACGGAAATGACGAGATGAACTGAGAAGGGCTTTTATCTCCCAACTCTTCTGGAGGACCCTGCCCTCAGGACGGCCTCCGCTCCGCCCGCCAGCTGTCTCCGGAGGACTTGGTGCCCTGCGTGGTGGCCTGGGCGCCGTCCCCGCGCTCTTCGGCTCCAGGCCAGCGCTCTACCGCCGGAGCCACAGCGCCACTTCCGGTTTTCTGGTGGTTCCTTGAAGTTAAGAGTCTCACAGACTCCTGCCCAGGCTGGCTTTGAACCGTGATCCTCAGACCTCAGCCTCCTGAGTAGCTAGGATTACAAGTGTGAGCCACCGGCGCCCGTCTAGAGAATAACTTTTGTTGTCTGATTTTACTTTAGGAAATAATTTAAATCAAAATGGTTTTCAAAAGAAGACTGTCAAGATCAAGTGGTAACGATACCCTGACAAAAGAAGAGTCCAGTAAGTTACCTAGCCATTCATTACTGTGTGTGTGGTCTCACATACACGAGGTAGTTGAAGAGATGAAAAGTTTGTTTGCAGTTATAGGGATTTAATGGATAGAGGGCAAGAGATTTGAGACTCGAGTTTTACCTCACGTTCCATGAATGACTTTGGAACATCCTCTGAGCCTGTCTTTCACGCTAATAAGAAAAGTTAGTATTATAGACTCCATCTGTATATTATCCAGGGGCTGGGACACAGTGAAATGACAGTCCCTCCCCTTTAATAAGCTTTTGGTCCCCTTTTATCCTTTTAAAAAAGATTATGAATACTATGATATTGATAGTTAAAGAGAAGGGTATCAAAGTAAATATACCAGAGGCAAAGAAATAGTGCAAAGATAAGAATCTAATGGACTTTACTGCCCAGGGTGGATTTGAACCATGATTCTCAGATTTTAGCCTCCTGAATAGCTAGGATTACAGGCTTGAGCCACCAATGTCTGTTTTTTTTTTTTTTTTTGGTCGGTCGTGGGGCTTGAACTCTGGGTCTGGGCGCTGTCCCTCAGCTCTTCAGCTCAAGGCGAGCGCTCTACCACTTGAGCCACAGCGCCACTTCCGGTTTTGTGGTGGTTTATTGGAGATAGGAGTCTCATGGTCTCTCCTGCCCGGGCTGGCTTTGAACCGTGATCCTCAGATCTCAGTCTCCTGAGTAGCTAGGATTACAGGCGTGAGCCACCAGCGCCCGGTTGCCTGTTTCTTTTTTTCTTTTTCTTTTCTTTTTTCTTTGTCTTTTCTTTCTTTCTTTCTTTCTTTTTTTTTTTTTAACCGTACTGAGGGGTTACAATTACAAGGGCAAGATAATGAGTACATTTCTTTTTTTTTTTTTTTTTGGTTCCAGTCATGGGGCCTGAACTCTGGGCCTGGGCGCTGTCCCTCAGCTCTTCAGCTCAAGGCTAGCACTCTACCACTTGAGTCACAGCGCCACTTCCGGCTTTTTTCTTTTTGTTTATATGGTGCTGAGGAATCGAACCCAGGGCCTCTGGCATGCAAGGCAAGCACTCTACCACTGAACCACCTTCCAAGCCCCCTGAGTACATTTCTTATCAAGCATTTTTGCCTCCTCTTTTGTTTGCCCTGGCTGTTTTTTCAAGGAAGACAGTGAGTGATCTTTTTTTTCACCTGCTTAAGGCTATTTATTGGGGGGAAAAAAAAAGACGAAAAAGAAAAAAAAAATTGGCTGGGATGGAGGCTCAGTGGTAGAGGGCCTGCCTTGCATGCATGAGGCCCTGTGTTTGATTCCTCAGCACCGCATAAACAGTAAAAGCCGGAACTGGTGCTGTGGCTCAAGTGGTAGACTGCTAGCGTTAAGCTAAAGAGCTGAGGGACAGCGCCTAGGACTAGAGTTCTAAGCCCCACGACCGACAAAAAAAAAAGGAAAAAATAGAATTGTGAAGGAAAAAAAAAGTTTTCTTCAAGAGTTTTCTTCAGGAGCCCTTTGTTACCTTATTTTAAGTTGAAAGCCTTAGGATAAAAACTGTGGATTTTGTACTCATACTTTTGATGTCAGAGAACCTGCTTCATCTTGTTTTTTATATAGTTGAGTGATTTTAAACTTTGGTGTATCTTAGAATTATTGCTGGAAAAGTTTGCCCAAAATTCAGACTTTTAGGAATAAAGCCTAGAATATGCATTTTAATAAGCTTCTTAGTGGTTTGCAAACAGCAGCTTGAAGAAGACATTCATTTCCATTTCCATAGTTATTCTTGTTACCAAGCAAAATGTGCTGGCACATTTTGTATTCTTTGAGTGAAAAATTCAATTGAAGATAACTATTTGTTGATTGCTTAATTTATCTGTTTATTTGGAAGTCACATTTGTTGTCCACTGTTGGAAATAGTTCCTTCTGTTGAAGCACCAGCTCTAGTTATATTCTTCAGAAATAACAGTTTTCATCTTAGCGCTCTTATTCCTGAGGTTATATTTAATCTTTCTCTTTCTTTCTTTCTTTCTTTCTTTCTTTCTTTCTTTCTTTCTTTCTTTCTTTCTTTCTTTCTTCCTTCCTTCCTTCCTTCCTTCCTTCCTTCCTTCCTTTCTTTTTTTGTCGTCTTAAAAATTTTGCTTAGTCTCAGAAGACAAGATGCAGCCACTTACCAAAACAATAAAGAAATCTCATGCTCCCAATCAAGTTGAAGAAAATGACACTGTTTTTGTAAGACTTCTCAAGACATCAGGACTTATTCTTAAAACTGGACAGAATCAGAATCAACTAGGTAACTTTTTGTTATTTTATAAGTATTAACTTATTGTTATAAGTAATTTTATTATTACAAGTAACATAATTTTTGGGTATTGTGGTTTGAATTTAGTGCCCTGAACTTGCTAGGCAAGTCCTGCCACTTAGGCTCAACACTTGATGCATTCCTCATTCCTTTTAGCTTTAGTTATATTTCAGGTAGGGTCTCAAGGCACCTTCAGACTTAAAAGCATTGTATCTCTCTCTCCTCTATAACTGAGATTACAGACATGAGCTACCATGACCAACTTTTTTTTTTTTTTTGGTTGGTTGTGGGGGCTAAACTCTGGGCCTGGGTGCTGTCCCTCAGCTCTTCAGCTCAAGGCTAATGCTCTACCACTTGAGCCACAGTGCCACTTCTGGCCTTTTCTATTTATTTGGTACTGAGAAATTGACCCCAGGGCTTCATGCATGCTAGGCAAGCACTCTTATCACTGAGTCACTTTCCCAGCCCAACCACCAATATTTTTGTTTCTGTTGGTACTGGAGCTTGAACTCAAGACCTTTATATCGTCTCAACTTTTTTTTTTTTTGCCGCTCCTGGGGCTTGAACTTGGGACTTGGGCTCTGTCCCTGAGCCTCTTTGTGCTCAAGGTAGTGCTCTACCACTTGAGCCACAGTGACACTGTTGGCTTTTTCTGAGTAGTTTATTGGCTATAAGAGTCTCACTTTCCTGCCTGGGCTGACTTTGAGCCATGCATAATCCTTGTATCTCAGCCTCCTGAGTAGCTAAGATTACGGTGTGAGCCACTGGTGCCCAGCTTGTGGCAGGTGTTTTTATGAATGCTTAGTGATCAATGGAGATGTTCCTCAGTGGTATATTGCTAGCCTTGAGTGAAAAAGTTACAGAAGCAGGGCCTAGGCTTTGAGTTCCAGCCTCATACAAGCACCAAAAAGAGGGAGAAAGAAGAAAGTTTAGTGCCTGTCTTCTATCAAAACTAAACCTTTTACTGAGGGTTTAGATGTTTGAGCTCTAAAATTAAGTTGGAAGTTTTAGTGGTGTCATCAGAAATGTAATTTTGTTGTCGTTGTTGGTCATGGGGTTTGAACTCAGGGCCTAGCTTCTGCACTCAAGGTGAGTGTTCTACCACTTTGAGCCACAGTGCAGCTTCCAGTTTTCTGATGGTTAACTTGCAAGCCGAGCACCGGTGGCTCATGCTTGTAATCCTAGCTACTCAGGAAGCTGAGATCTGAGGATCTCAGTTCAAAGCCAGCCCGGGCAGGAAACCACTAGAAAACCGGCAATGGCGCTGTGGCTCAAGCGGTAGAGCGCTTGCTTTGAGCTGAAGAGCGCAAGGACAGTGTCCAAGCCCAGAGTTCAAGCCCCACAACAACAACAACAAAAAAAAGTCTCGCAGTGCCAGCACCTGTGGCTCATGCCTATAATCGTAGCTACTCAGAAGGCTGAGATCTGAGGATTGTGGTTCAAAGCCAGCTCTGGCAGGAAAAGTGTCAGATTCTTATCTCCAATTAACATCCAGAAAACCAGAAGTGACACTGTGACTTAAAGTTCTTGAGTGCTAGCCTTAAGTGAAGAAACTTAGAGACAGTGCCCAGGCTTTGAGTTCAAGCACCACAACCGACAAAAAAAAGAATCTCGTAGACTTTCCTGCTTGGGCTGATTTTGAACCTTAACCCTCACTCTAGCTACGATTACAGGCATGAGCCATTGGCACCCAGCTAGAAATGTAAATCTATATGGAAGAAAACTGGTAGATGTTGCAGTCTGGTGACCAGCTGTCCTTCTTTCCTCATAGCTGTGGATCAAATAGTTTTTCAAAAGAAGCTCTTTCAGACCCTGAGGAAACATCCTTCTTATCCCAAAGTATGTATTTTCGTCATGCAGTCCTCTGTAATTAGGAATTTAAAGCCCCTGGGAGAAAGCTGAACAAGTTAGAATCATTTCAAGGTGACAGTACATGTTACACTAAAAATCTTATCCTTCTTTCCTCTCTCTTTTTAATGACAAAGCAAGGAGTTTAATAGAGAGGAAATGGTGGGCCTGAGCTAGAGGGCTCAAGAGCAGTCTTATCTTTTTCCTGTTTATTTTTTCATTCCACTTTGTTTATTTTTAAAATCTGTTCATTAAGGTAATAGAAGAATTTGTCCAGGGCCTGGAGTCTTACATTGAGGACAGTGAGAGTTTCAGGAACTGCCTTTTATCGTGTGAACGTCTGCAGGATGAAGAAGCCAGGTGTGGAGAGGCGGCACACAGTGACCCATTCTGTTTCAGTAATTGAGTTGGGATGGGAAAATTCAACTTTTTACCATTTCACTTTTGACTTGTGATCTCTGTTCCTCAAAGATTAAACCTAACTTTAAAATGATTAAATTTGTAGCTCTAAGTCTAAGAACTAGAAGAATTTTTTTTTTAATAACATGTCTTAACCTATTGATAGAATTTCAGGTCTCTGCTTCTTCCTATTGTTAGTGTTTCTTGTCTAACAAGATGACACTGAACATAACCTTTAAGGGTTGTATATATTAAGTTTATGGACAAAAGATCATTACAAACATTAGAACAGGGAAAATTTGGAACCACCTATCTCTTTTTTACAGCATGAGTACATCTTATTCTAAGAGCCTCATTAAACTACTTCTGGGGATTGACATATTACAGGTAAGTCTGCCATTTGCTTTGTGAATGTTTGATGGATGGGGTTTGGTGTGTACCCAACATAACTGACTGGGTCACAGGGTAGAGGCAGCTCATTGGAGAGTTTGGGTGTTTTTTTGTTTGTTTGTTTAACGGGTCGTGGGGCCTGAACTCTGGGACTGGGTGCTGTCCATCAGCTCTTCAGCTCAATGCTAGCACTCTACCACTTGAGCCACAGTGCCACTTCTGGCTTTTTCTGCTTTTGAGGTGCTGAGCAATTGAATCCAGGGCCTCATGTATGCAAGGCAAGCACTCTACCACTGAGCCACCTTCCCATCCCCTATGTGAAGACTTTTTTTTTTTTTGGGTCTGGTCGTGGGGCCTGACTCTGGGCGTGGGTGCTGTCCCTCAGCTCTTCAGCTCAAGGCTAGCGCTCTACCATTGAGCCACAGCGCCACTTCCAGCTTTTTTCTTTTTGCTTATGTGGTGCTGAGGAATTGAACCTTGGGCCTCATGCATGCAAGGCAAGCGCTCTACCACTGAGCCACCTTCCCAGCCCCTATGTGAAGATTTTTATAACAGGATTTTTTGTGTATTTTGAGTCCATCTAATGCCTAACTACTATGTCTTCTTTTTTAGCCTGCTATTATCAAAACTTTATTTGAAAAGTTACCAGAATTTCTTTTTGAAAAGTAAGTGGAGCTATTTTCAAATATTCAAATGCTATTCTGAAAAGCTTGCTTAAAATATTGTTAGTCTCCTAGAGTCATATATTTACTATGGTGCCAGGCTCATGTGTGACTACTGCAAGTTTGTTGGGGTGTCTATTTGTGTAATTTCATCTCAATGATTTCATAAAGCTAACAAAATTATTGTTAAAATTAAGTAGCCAGTTAAGTAGTACATAGGTTTATATATATGCACAGATGAGCCTTAGAAGGATACATGGTACACTGGCAATAATACGTATTTCCAAGGAGGGGATTGACTGACTGGAGTGAGATATTTGCTGAGCACTGTTCTTTCCTTTTCATTCTATTTTCTGTACTGGATTGGATTGTGTGTGTTTGTTTGTTTATAAGGTACTCTTGTTTATATGAACTCAGGACCTCTTGTTTGCTTGGCAGACAACCACTTGAGCTGTACCCCCATCTCCTTTTGCTTTATTTTTAGGATAATGTCTTGTTTTATGCCTGGATCAGAAGTGTTTGTAGTACTATTTTATGCCTGGATCACGAGTGGCTGTGGCACTATTTTATGCTTACTACATACAGAAGATGATAGGTTCATGCCACCAAGCCCAGCTATTGGTTTTGCTGGTTCCAGGGTTGGAACTCAGAGCCTTATACTTGTTTGGCTTGCTAGCTCAGCTTGTGTTCTACCACTTGAGCCAGGCCTTCAGTGCAACTTTTTGCTGGCTAATTGTAGATTTTGTCTCATGGACTTTTCTGCTTGGGTTGTCTTCAAACCATGATTCTTCATATCTCAGCCTCTTGATTAGCCTAGTAATGTATGTGTACTCCACATATTGTTAAAAATTATGGTCAGGGAAAAAAGAAACAGCTTAATAGAAAGTACACAAAGATCATGAATAGAGTCCTCACAAATATAAGAACATCAACAATTAACATGTTCAGTTTTGCTAGCAAATACAGAAAAACTTAAAAGAATTGCATTTTTTCTACTGTCAGTCTTCTTTGCATATAATCCTCACCTATTGCTAATAAAGATGCAGAGCAGTTACTTATTCTGAAAAACAATAGGTTTTATGTATCTAAGCTTTAGTTTTAAGTCTGGGGATATAGCTCAGTGGGCTTTGCATCTCTAAGGCCCTAGGTTTGATCCAAAGCACTACCAAATGAAAAAGTTTGGTGAGGTGCTAGTGACTTGTGCCTATAATCCTAGCTACTTAGGAGTTGAGATCTGAGGATCATGGTTTGAAGCCAGTCAGGGCAGGAAAGTCCATGAGACTTTTTTTTGTGTGTGTGTTGGTCTTGGGGTTTGAATTTAGTGCCTTGTGATGGCTAGGCAAGCTCTCTTATCATTTGAGCTACACTCTTAAATTCTTTTTGCTGTAGGTTTTAAAAAATATTTTATTGTTTTTATAAAGGTGATGTACAGAGGGGTTATGTAAGTCAGGTAAAGAGTATCTTTCTTTCTTTCTGTCTGTCTGTCTGTCTTTCTTTCTTTCTTTCTTTCTTTTTTTTGTCGGTCATGGGGGCTGAACTCTGGGCCAGGGCGCTGTCCCTTAGCTCTTCAGCTGAAGGCTAGCACCCTACCACTTGAGCCACAGTGCCACTTCCGGCTTTTTTCTTTTTGCTTATGTGGTGCTGGGGAATCGAACCCAGGGCCTCATGCATGCAAGGCAAGCGCTCTACCACTGAGCCACCTCCCCAGCCCCTCCATTTTTTTTTCTTTATTTTTTTTTTTTTTTAGTCGTGAGTCTTGAACTCTGCTCCTGGGTGCTGTCCCTGAGCTGTTCAGCTTAAGGCAAGTGCTCTATCACTTGAGCCATAGCACCACTACCTTTTTTTTTTTTTTTTTTTTTGTCAGTCATGGGGCCTGAACTCTAGACCTGGGTGCTATCCCTGAGCTCTTCAGCTCCAGGCAAGCTCTCTACCATTTGAGCCACAGCGCCACTTCTGGTTTTCTGGTGGTTTATTGGAGGTAAGAATCTCACGGACTTGGGCTGGGAAGGTGGCCTTGACTGTCCTTTTTTTTTTTTGTACTGAGGATTGAACTTATGACCTTGCCTTTGCTAGGCAAGGGTTTGCCACTGAGCTACATCCTAGCCTTAATTGTATTAATTTTAAGTAATAACTCTGTAACTTCTGTTTTGTTTTCTCTCTACTTTCTCCTGGATGTTGACAATTCAGTACGTTTTCTTCTAGACATTTTCTCAAAGTAGTTAATCATAAATCTGCTTCTCTTGGTAGGGCTTCCATGTTTCTAGCAAGTGACCCATACATAGCATGTGTGCTGTAAATATCAATTAAATAGGTATGATATTTTGAGAATGGTTATGCTTGTTTTGTAAGTCAGAAAAATTATGTTCCCAAGCTGGGGATGTAACTCAGTTGTAGAGACTCTGCTTAGGATGTGTGAGAGCCTAGGTTTAGTCCCCAGCACTAAAAAACAAAAATCAGAAAGGCTAAGTCCCTTCTCTTCTATTTTTTACATACAGACCAAATAGTGATGGGATCAGCATGCCTCGACTCATTATCAGTCAGCTGAAATGGCTTGACAGAATTGTGGATGGCCAGGTAGGCTTGGGGGCTATTACTTCCATGTCAAATGGAATTTACAAAAGTTTTTTTTTAAACAGAAAATTGCACCTTTCCATTTGTCTATTAGTTGTTTTTTTCTCCCAGCTTTTATCATTTGAGAATCATGAGTATTTCATCTTTAAATTTCTTCAAAAAATAAACTAACATCATGCATGATGGTGCATACCTATAAACTCAGCACCTGGAACACTGAGACAGGAGCATCAGAAGGCCAAACAAAGTCACTCTGTCTCTTTTAAACAAAAACAGCAATTGGTGGCTCACACCTATGATCCTAGCTACTCAGGTGGCTGAGATCTGAGGATCATAGTTCAAAGCCAGCCTGGGCACACATCTCCAATTAACCACTCAAAAACTGGAAGTAGAGCTGTGGTTCAAAGTGGTAGAGTGCTAGGCTTAAGCAAAAGAGCTCAGGGACTGTGCCCTAGCCATGAGTTCAAGCCTCATGACCAACAAAAAGAAAAAAAAAGAAAAAGAGAAGCTTACTCAATAACATAAAGTTACTTTATAACATAAAGGTATTTATAGTATACATTTTTATATAAAATAACAATATACACATAGTTTAACATTGCTATTTTATATAAAATAACAAAATACCTATAATTTAATATATAAATAATAAAAACTAAATATTATTTGCTTTCAAAATATAGAGATTATTACTTCTCAAAAGTAGTCAGATCCCAACTTTCTTACTTCACTGCAACTGTTTTTTTTTGTTTGTTTGTTTTTTGCTTTTTTTTTGTCTGTCATAGGGCTTGAACTCTGGGCCTGGGCGCTGTCCCTCAGCTCTTCAGCTCAAGGCTAGCACTCTACCACTTGAGCCACAGTGCCATTTCTGGTTTTCTGGTGGTTTATTGGAGATAAGAGTTTCACGGACTTTCTTGCCCAGGCTGGCATTGAACCGCGATCCTCAGATCTCAGCCTCCTGAGTAGCTAGGATTACAGGCGTGAGCCACCGGCGCCTGGCGCAAGTGTTTTAATTTAATTGCATATGAAGGAAAATTATAGGAAGTTTTTGCAGTTATGAATTCATTACTTAAGCCCCTTGGTAAGTTGAATCTATTTGAATCAAGTACTTGAGGTCTTCTTTTCAGTTGTTGTTTTTTTTTTTTTTACCAGTCCTGGGGCTTGAATTCAGGGATTAGGCACTGTCCCTTAGCTTTTGCTCAAGGCTAGCACTCTACCCCTTGAGCCACAGCACCACTTCCAACTTTTTTCTATTTATGGGGTCCTGAGGAATTGAACCTAGGGCTTCATGCACACTAGGCAAGCACTCTATCACTAAACCACATTCCCAGCCCTTTTCAGTTGTTCTTGAAACCATTCTTTTAATTTTAGTAGAAATTCCAAGTTGAATGTTGGAAAGAACGTGAGTTTTGGTCTTATCTGGGCTGAGATGTGCCACTTAGCTATAGATCCTGAAGATGGGGATAGCCAAGCTCCATAGTTGTGGAGACTAATGAAATAATGTATGTAGAACAACTATTAGATAATGAGCCATCTATCCTATTATTTATATGTGATTGTTTAGATTTTTTTTTTGTGCCACTTGTCTCTTAAGTTTAGAACTTGCTGTCATCATACTGTATGTATGAAAATTTCAGCTCTGAGTAGCTATTGGGCCATTTCTCATAATGTCTTCCATCACAGGACCTCACCATTAAAATCATGCAGCTGATTAGCATTGCTCCAGTCCCTCTACAACAGGACTTTGTCACCAGCCTTCCTGAGATCTTGGGGGATGCCCAGCATGCTGATGTAGCGAATGAACTCAGGTGAGTAAGCACTGCTGTGTTATCTCAGTGAAGTGTCAACAAGGCAGCTTTTGCACTGTGGTGTGAAGTGGTGATGTGGTCCTCCCCATATAAAGTATAAAAAGACTCTGGAATACCTACCTCCTTTTCATAGTTAGGTAATGAGATTTAACTTGTTTTTCTTTCTTTTATTTGCTGGTACTGGATTTGAATTCAGGTTCTTGTGCTTTCCAGGCAGGAGTTTGTACTTCTGATCCACACCTCCGGCTCCTGTTTATACTGATTATTATTATATTTTTTCTTTTGTCTGTTACGAGGCTCACAAAAAAATTAAAAAATAAAATAAAATAAAGAACCAAAAAAAAAACAAAACAACTCAGGAAGGATATGTATCAAGTTAAACAGTAGTGACCTCAGTAGTAAGGATAGTGAAGGAAGGATTGATTCTCATGTCCACTTTAGTTCTTCTGATGATTGGAATTTTTATAAGCATGTATTATGTTTACCATAAGACTTTTGTTTCTTTTGGTACTGGGACTTGAACTCTGGGCCTCACTCTCTCCCTCGCATTTTTCACTCATAGATGGCACTTGAGCCACACTTCTACTTACAGCTTTTTGCTGGCTTGAAATAAGAAAGTCTCTGAGATTTGTCTTCCCTAGTGGCTGTAAACTGCAATTCTGTTTTTTTTGGTAGCTGTAATTACAGGCATAAGCCACTGGCATCTAGCATGCAAATAATTTTTAATTAAAATATTATATACAGTAATGAAGTAGGAGATAAACAGTTCATTTTATGTATCTGTAGATTCCATTTTTACACCCAACCTATTACAGATCAAAGATAGCTAGTGGGTCACGCTTGTCATCTTAGTGACTTAGGAGGCTGAGATCTAAGGACTACGATTCTAAGCCAGCCTGGGTAAGAAAGTCTATGAGTCTTTTATCTCCAGTTAAATATCAGAAAACCAGAAGTAGAGCTGTGGCTCAAAGTGGTAGAGTGCTGGCCTTGAGCAAAATTGCTCAGAGATGGTGTGCAGGCCCTGAGTTCAAGCCCCATGACTGACAAAAAAAATTTCATCCATAACATGTACAGACATTTCTTGTCCCTCCCTAAATTGTAAAGTATAATAAGTATTTGTACAGTGTTTATATTGTATTAAGTATTATAAATATTCTAGAGGTGGTTTGAAGTATTCTAGAGGAAGTGCAAGGTCATGCTGGGTTTGTAGGTCATATTCAAATAACTACACCATTGTATATGGTGGACTTGTATATCTGAAGATTTTGGTATCCATGGGACCTGGAACCTAGTCTGCTACATATATTAAGAGATAACTATGCATCTCTCTTCCCACACCAGTGAGTAGTCTTTTCAAGTCATTATTTGTCTTTTGTGTGTAAACCGTTAGACAGTTTTTCTTTTTCTACTGTTCACAGTGGCCTGCTGATGGAGAACACTACTCCACTTACTGTCCCAATCCTGGATGTTCTCTCCAGCCTCCGACTTGACACAAATTTTCTGTCTAAGGTAGGAGACTCTGCTTTCCAGAAATGGCACACACCTTTCTGACCTTTTGGAACCAGTCAATGTTAACTGGCCATCAATTGGGAATAGTGAAAACAGCTTTTTGAAGTATAGTCAGTGTTCAGTGAATCTCATTATTTTTTTTGTCCCAGTCTTTGGGCTTGAACTTAGAGCCTGAGCAATGTCCTTGAGCTTCTTTTTTTGTTGGTTATGGGGCTTTAACTCAGGGCTTGGGCACTGTCCCTGAGCTCTTTTGCTTAACACTAGTGCTCTCCACTTCTGGTTTTTTGGTGGTTAATTGGAGATGAGAGTCTCATAGACTTTGTTACCTGGGCTGGCTTTAAACCACGTTCCTCAGATCTCAGCCTTCTGAGTAGCTAGGATTATAAGCATGAGGCGCCAGTACCTTGCTTGTCCCTGAGCTTTTGTGATCAAGATGAAATCTACTACTTTGAGATATAGCTCCGTTTTTGGCTTTTTAGCAGTTAATAAGAATCTCACAGATTTTCCTGCCTGGGCTGGCTTTGTACCACAATCCTCAGATCTCAGCCTCCTGAGTAGCTAGTATTACAGATGAGTACCAGTGCCTGGCTTTCAATGAATCTCAGTATGTGCTATATTATAATGGATTCACTGTTTGAGAGTGTGTGTGTGTGTGTGTGTGTGTGTGTGTGTGTGTGTGTGTGTGTGTGTGTGTGTGTGTGTGTGTGTGTGTGTGTGTGCGCGCGCGCGCTTGCATACATGTAAAAATTTATTCTGAGACTGGAACTCAACATCCTGCTCTTGCTTGGCTTTTTCACTCATAGCAGGGCTTTATACAACTTGAGCCACATCTCAGTTCCAGCTTTTGCTGGTTATTTGGACATAAGAATCTCTTGGATTTGTCTGCTTGGGCTGGCTTTGTTTTTTTTTTTTGTCGGGCGTGGGGCTTGAACTCTGGGCTTGGGCACTGTCCCTCAGCTTTTCAGCTCAAGGCGAGTACTCTACCACTTGAGCCACAGTGCCACTTCTGGTTTTCTACTGGTTTATTGGAGATAAGAGTCTCATGGACTTTCCTGCCAGGGCTGGCTTTGAACTGTGATCCTCAGACCTCAACCTCCTGAGTAGCTAGGATTACAGGCGTGAGCCACCAACGCCCAGCTCAATGCTTCGGCTGGCTTTGAACCATGATTCTCAGATCTCATCTTTCTGAGTAGATGGAAATAGAGGCGTGAGCCACTTACATTTGGCCAATTTTTCTTATTTTAACTAACAAGTCATGCTGGTTAAAGTAATGACATGAAAAGGTTTTCTTTTTCTTCCTCACCCTATCTATCCCCTCAAGTTACCTGGTTCCATTTTTACATATGTACATTGAATATTATGAATGTGTTCACTTTCCATTGAAAGAAGTTCTTTGTGTTTTTTTATGTTTAGATACGGCGGTTAGTGATGGGTAAACTGTCATCTCTCAGACTGGATGATTTACCTGTGATAATGAAGTTTATTCTTCATTCTGCAACAGCCACCAATGCACTTGAGGTATTCTATTATTTCCCACCAAATCTATATAAAGAAATATACTGGGGCTGGGAAGGTGGCTCAGTAGTAGAGTACTTGCCTTGCATGCATGAGGCCTTGGGTTCAATTCCTCAACACCACATAAGCAGAAAAAGCTGGAAGTGGTGCTGTGGCTCAAGTGGTAGAGGGCTAGCCTTGAGCTGAAGAGCTGAGGGACAGTGCCCAGATCTAGAGTTCAGGCCCCATGACTGACAAAAAAAAAAAAAATCAGGATAAATTACTAGTCTAAATTGTTCTTCTCTGCCCCCAGACTAATTGATAATGTTGATTGTTGCAGACACATTGAGGAAAGGACTGGAGCCACTAGTCAGATTATTCTTTTAAACAGATTATTCTTTTAAGCTGCTTCAGTTGTATTTACTAATTTTTTTTTTTTTTTTTTTTGTCGGTCATCGGGCTTGAACTCTGGGCTGAGGTGCTGTCCCTGTGCTCTTCAGCTCAAGGCGAGCGCTTGACTGCTTGAGCCACAGCGCCACTTTCGGTTTTCTAGTGGTTTATTGGAGATAAGAGTCTCATGGTCTTTCCTGCCCGGGCTGGCTTTGAACCATGATCCTCAGATCTCAGCCCCCTGAGTAGCTAGGATTACAGGCGTGAGCCACCAGCGCGTAGCTTGTATTTACTATTTTTGTGTATTAGTGTCTAAGGAAATCTGGGATTCTGGGATGACATACTCTATTTGGCGTTAACTTGTCTTATTAACCTGCTCTCAAAATTCTCAGCCTGGCATTAAAATTTTTTTCTTCCTCAGTCTTTCAGGAGTTACTATGGTTCTGTTGGGAGAGTTTGCACGACACATGACTAATACTTCGTTTTGTAGGTAATTACTGAACTTCGGAAGAAGTTTGACCTACACCACTTTATGTTGCCGTCACAGTTTCTTGCCTCCCAAAACAAGTTGAAAAGTAAAGGAGGAGCAAGGTACAGTTTTTTGACAGTTGCCATCCTTTTTCCTGCATAGACAAATGTTTTCTGATGTGGGTCCTAAAGTCAGGATCGTTAGTGCTTACTACTCAGAACTACGAATGCTAGCAGTAATTATTACATTCACGTACAGTACTGTGCTAATCTTTATGGTGTGTCTCAGACTTGAATGCATGTACTTGGGCTCCTACTTGGCTTTTGGTTTATGGCTGACACTATCACTTATCACTTGAGTCATGCCGCCAGTTCCGATGTCTAGTCTATGTAAAGCCTTATTAGTCAGAATAATCCTAGATAGACTACAAGTTTTGGTGTCCTTCGTGTGTGTGTTTGTGTGTATGTGGGTGTGTGTGTTTGTGTGTGTGTGTCTGTGTGTGTGTGTGTGTGTGTGTTCCGATCCTGGGGATTATACTACAGGCCTTGCTCTACTTCCAACTTTTTGATAGTTCGTTGGAGGTAAGAGTTTCCTGGATGTTTTGCCTCCTGGGTAGTAGGATTACACACATGACCCACCAGCCTCCAGCTGCAACATGTTAATTATTGGACATGTGATGTTGAGGTTTACTCCAGGGTATGTGGCTACTAAGCAGGAACCCAGATCTTAAAAGTTTTTCTCTGGTAAGGGAAAGATACAATTTTCCTTCAATTTGTAGTTCTTCAGGAAGCCAAGAAAGCACCAGTAAAGACTGTATCGTTCTTCTCTTTGATGTAATAAAGTCAGCAGTTAGATATGACAAAACCATTTCAGAAGCCTGGATTAAGGTGAGTAAGATCTTTGGAACTTGAGTATCATGGGGAAAATGAATGTCAATTATTGTCAGTTGTGTAAGTCCTGAAGCTTGAACTCATTGCCTGGGTGCTGTCCCTGAGCTTTTTTGCTCAAAGCTAGTGCTCTACCTCTTGAGTCACAACTCCTAAAAATCATTCAAATATAAGGGCCAGATGATTGATAGGTAAATGTGGACTCTCAGATAAGAAAACAGAGCATGCAGAGTTAGGCATGTTCCACTGATGTTTGGTAATATTATTGTCACCCTTGTTTTTTTTAGGCAATTGAAAGCATTGCCTCAGTAGCTGAACACAAGGTAATTACAGTCTTGTACTATGAATTTAAAATATTATAGCCAAAGTAGTGACATTGTGTAGTGACACGACAGTCATCCTTCAGTACTTTCCATAGCTGCTCTACTAAATATTGGCTGGGAAGATGATCTAAAGGGTAACTTTCCAAATAACCTGTTCTTTTAATTAATTTTAGTAGTTAAATGAGCCTCCAATATTTAGAAGTAGGAAAATCCCAGGCCCATCATCCCTACATGGTCTATGGCAGGTTCCTGTGTCTGTCTGCCCTTCCTTCCATCTGGCAGGTAGTATTGTCTAGATAAGAACATTCTGTGTGTCACTGCAGTTTCTCCCTGGAGGCCTGTATGTTCTGTATTATCAATGAAATGCTACTAGAAAACCTTCCCCCCCCACCCCCCCACCCCGTACATGGGGTTTTGAACTTATGGCCTTCCACTTGTTTGGCTGACATGCTTACCATTTGAGTCAATGCCTCTAACCCTTATTGTGTTCTTATGATAAATCTGAAGCGATCCAGAATTATTCCTATAATATCACTTTTATATTTCCAGTACTTTTCTTTCTCTTCCTCCTCCCCCTCCTCTTCCTCTTCTTCTTCCTCTTCTTTTTTGTCAGTCATGGGGCTTGAACTCTGGGCCTGGGCGCTATTCCTGAGCTCTTTAGCTCAAGGTGAGCACTCTACCGCTTGAGCCACAATGCCACTTCCACTTTTCTGGTGGTTACTTGAAGATAAGAATCTCACAGACTTTACTGCCTGGGCTGGCTTTGAACCTCTATCCTCAGATCTTAGACTCGTGAGTAGCTAGGATTACAGGCGTGAGCCACTGGCACCCAGCAGTGCTTTCTTCTTTTAATAAATTAATTTGTGTGTGTGTAGTAGTAGGTACTGGAACTTGACTTCTAGGTCTTGCAGTTTAGCTCAATTTTTTTAGTTCATAGCTAGCACTGTACCACTGAAGCTACATTTCCACATCTGGATTTCTGGTTAATTGGAGATGAGTCTCAAGAATTTCTGTAGCCCGGTGCTGCTGGCTCACACCTATAATCCTTGCTTCTCAGGATGCTAAAATCTGAAGATCAACGTTCACAACCAGCCTAGCCTAGAAAATCTGTGAGACTCTTATCTCTAGTTAACCACTAAAAGCCACAAGTAGAGCTGTGGCTCAAGTGTGGTGCCCAGGCTCAGAGTTCAAGCCCTAAGGTTGTCACATACAAGAAAAAATGTTTTCTTGTTGGATTTGAACCTTGATTCTCAGATTTCAGCCTCTTGATTAACTGGGTATGAGCCACAGGTATGAGCCACTTCCAATTAAAAAAAATATTTTATTATAAAGGTGATGTACAGAGAGGTTACAGTAACATAAGTTTGGTAAAGAGTACATTTCCTTTTGGACGTTGTTACCCCTTCCCTCCTTTTTCCTAGTTTTTCCCTCCCACAAGTTGTATAGTTGATTTTCAACATAGTGTCTAGTGAGTACCAGTGTTGTTTTTGTTTACCCCTTGTCCCTCTATTTCTGTGCTTTTCCTTACCCTCCCAAAGGCATATAAAGAAACAAGACCAAAAGAAAACAAAAACATCAACAAAGGAAAAAACCCCATTTCCATTTCCTGGAGTTCATTTACAGGGTTTTCTTAAGAGATACTGTGGGTAATAATTGTGGCACCTAATTTCTCTGAAAAAAAATTTCTGGGTCTTGTAACTATATATGTATTCTATATATGTACTCTGGGAGTATTTGAAACAAATGATTTCATCCCTCTGTTTTATGGGAGAAAGTTGAGAGTTACTATTGGGTTACTAAACTGTTACTGTTGCCTATTGATGTAGATTTTTGATATGGCGATGCTTCTGGTCATCTACAGCACCAGCACCCACACAAAGAAGTACATAGAGAGGGTGCTTAGAAGCAAGATTCGATTAGGCCACATTGAAAAGCATCTGCTAGAGAATACATTCTGTGTTCATGACATGGTAAGTGTCAGAGAATCAGGCAAGCTTACTTGAGAAAAACATAGAAAGATCATCTTAACCTTTCCAGACCTTTACTAAGTTTTGACCTTTGTTGGAGTTCAAAGCCTGTTTCAAGATAATTACAATTATTACAGTATTACATAGCTTGACTGATTTATTATGATGTTAGTAAATAAACCTAAGATTTTATTTACTTATTTATTTATTGTCAGTCGTGGGACTTGAATTCTGGGCCTGTGCTCTGTCCCTGAGCTCTTCATCTCAAGGCGAGTGCTCTACCACTTGAGCCACAGTGCCACTTCTGGTTTTCTGCTGGTTTATTGGAAATAAGAATCTTACAGGCTTTTCTGCCTGGGCTGGCTTTGAACCATGATCCTCAGATCTCAGCCTCATGAGTCACTAGGATCACAGGCGTGAACCACCAGTGTCCAGCTGATTTTTTTTTTTTTTTTTGTCATTCGTGGGTCTTGAACTCTGAGCCTGGGCGCTGTCCCTCAGCTCTTCAGCTCAAAGCTAGCGCTCTATTCACTTGAGCTACAACACCACTTCCGGGTTTTATTGGTGGTTATTTGGAGATTAGAGTCTCATGGACTTTCCTGCCCAGGCTGGCTTTGAACCTCCATCCTCAGATCTTAGCCTCCTGAATAGCTAGAATTACAGGTGTGAGCCACTGGCACCCGGCTGATTTTTATTTTTTTCTGCAGAAAGTTCATGAAATTTCTTGCATTGAACTTAATTTTACTCAAATTCCAACTTACATTTAGGTCTTTCTCCATAGTGTATAAGTTGATTCCCACCCCCCCGAAGGTAGACTAAATCGCTATGCAAAATTTCATCTCGTTTTTTCAAAGTTTAATTTTTCCCTGGTCATTTTAGTACTCTCTATGAAGCTTTTAACCTTGACAAATTGGCCTCTTGGATCTTGTTCTAAGAGGTTTCCAAAGTCCTGACATATGCTGATTACTGTGGTTCATACCTGTAGTGCCAGCACTTAGAAGGCTGAGGCAGGAAGATTTTAAGTTTGAGGCCAGTCTTGGGCTGTATGGTGAGAGTCTGTTTGTCTCACTTCGAAAAATAGCTCCTGAAAACCCTGAGGGAGGACAACATGAAAGAAACATAAAATGAAGCTATAAAACACACCTGTATGGCCATTCAATATTGTGAACAATAGAGGTCGATCCTTCTCAGAATGTAAGCCAACCCAAGATCATATATGCTGGGAATGGTGTTTTGCCAACTGGAAATTTAGAAGTTCACTGTGATGAGCTTAGTGGGCTGGCAATTTGGACCTTGGCTTAGGAGCTGAAGAGTATATACTCGGGAGTGCTCTACCACTTGAGCCATGCCTTCAGCCATCCTTTCTTTAGCAATTTTTCAAATAGGGTCTGACATTTATGTCTGGGTTGGCCTAGACAGCAATTCTACTTATACTTTCCATGGAGCTGAGATGACAGATGGGCACTGCCACCCAGCTATTAGTTGAGATAGGGTCTTGCTAACTTTTTGCCCAGTCTGGCCTTGAACTATGATCCACTAGATGTCTACTGCTGAGTAACTGAGCCATACACCTGTCATTTTGGTTGTTGTTCCATTGGTGGTATTGGATAGAACTGAGGGTCACAGGTTTACTAGGCCAATGCTTTTCCCACTTGAATCACGTCCCAGTTGCTTGTATAATTTTTTTAATACAGTCTGATTTTGCCTGAGCTGGTCTAGACTATGACTGTCTTATTTTGCTTCCCATGAAATTGGGATGAGAGGTTCATACCACCATGCCCAACTTACTGGTTGAGATGAGCTCTTTCCAACTTTTTGCCAAGGTTGGCTTGCAGCTTTGAGTCTGCTGATATCTGCCTCCTGAGTAGCTAGGATTATAGGTATGAATCAGTATTCTCAGCTTGCGGTTTCTCTCTTTCTCTCCCACTCTCTGTCTCTCCCTGTCTCTCTGCCTCTCTCTATTTTTTAAATTATGTCAGTTTTGTATTCAGGTTTCATACTTGCTAGGCTGGTCCGTCCTGTTTCTCACCTACTCGTTTCCGAATGAGAGTTCACTTCCCTCTTAGCTCATTCCTGAGCTGTGATCCACCTGCTTCCGGTTTCCCATCATCGATGGATCTCAGGTGTCTTACTGCTGCCTTCAGCTTTACTCCATGGAGACAGTCTCTCAGACTTTTTCTGCCTTGGCTGGCCTGGAACCTCTGTCTTTTCAATTTCAGTCTCCACATAGCTAGGGATGATGAGGCCACACTACTGCACCCAGGTACAGGTTGTGTAGACTTCTCATGAGTCTTTCTGCCCTGGCTGGCCTCAAACCGAGATCCTTTCATTCTCAGCCCACCATGCCTCCAGGCTTTTTCTTTTTTCCTTCTGGCTAGTTGGAGATAAAGTAAAAGTATTTTCTGCTCAGATTGGCTTTGAATAGTGATCCTCAAATTTCAGATTACTGTGTAGGTATGATTATAGACTTGAGCTACTGACACCTGGCCGAATTAACCTTTCCTTTGTTTTTTGGTGCCAGTCCTGAGGCTTGAACTCAAGGCCTGAAGGTACTGTCCCTGAGCTCTTTTCCTCAAGGCTAGCACTCTTACCACTTGAACCTCAGCTCCACTTCTGGCTTTTTTAGTAGTTAATTGGAGATAAGAATCTTTTTGAACTTCTTGCCTAGACTGGCTTCAAACCACAATCCTCAGACCCCAGTCTCTTGAATAGCTCCGACAAGAGGCATGAACCAGCAGTGCCCAGCTCTTATTAACCTTTTTTTTTTTTTTTTTTTATTGTAAAGCTACTATACAGAGGGTTACAGTTACATGAGTGAGGTTATGAGTACACTTCCTCTTGAACATTGTTACCCCCTCCATTGTTTTCCCCCTACCATCCCCTCCCTCCCTCCCTTCCCCGAAGTTCTTTTTTTTTTTTTTTTTTTTTGATTGTGATTAAATGATTACATAATTTCAAAGTCACAAGTTCATTCTAACTTCCCTGGAGCAAATTGTCTACCACAGTCTGTAATATATAACAGTGTTCACATGTTATATACCATATTTGTGATCAGCAGCATGAGGATATTTAGTAGTGGTTCAACCAGATGAGCGGGAGTTCTTTGTTTCTTAAGTCCTGTTAGTTTTGTCGTATCACCTAACCTTTTGGATTTAGCATCCACTTATGAGGGAGACCATGTACCGTTTGTCTCTTCGTTCTTGGCTTACCTCGCTCAACATGATTCCTTCTAGCTCCATCCATTTCCCTGCAAATGCCATTATTTTGTCATTTCTAATGGCTGCATAATATTCCATTGTGTATAGATACCACAATTTTTGGATCCATTCATCTGTGGTGGGGCACCTAGGTTGTTTCCATATCCTAGCTATTGCGAACAGTGCTGCAATAAACATGGAGGTGCACGTGTCCTTGTATATTGGTTCCTGTTGTTCAGGGTAGATGTCTTATTAACCTTTTAAAACAGTTTTTATGTGTCTGTGACATTTATCCTGACAAAACATTTACACCTGTGAAGAATTATCTTGGCTAAAGTAAGAATTAAAGTTCCTTAAGAGAAAATAACAGTTGGGGCTGAGGACAGGCTGTGCGGTGGAGCACTTGCCTAGCATGCATGAAGAAAATTCAGAAAGAGAGTTGGGGGGAAAAACTTAGCATTCCAAAGGACGTTACTATGTGTTTTTTCTTTTATAACTGTTTTTCCACATTTCTTTCCTCTCTTCCCTTCCAGGTTCTTAAGGATATTTGTCCATCCATTCTGTCATTGGCTCAGAGTTTGTTTCACTCACAAGACCCAAGTATAATTTCATTTGGCAGTCTCCTGTATACATATGCTTTTAGATTTTTTGACACTTACTGCCAGCAGGTATGTTGACATGTTTATCTGCATAAGGAAGGAATAAGGAAATGAAAAAATAAAGAAATATATTTCCAAGTGAGTTGCATGTGCTCAGGTGGTTATTTTGTGTCAGTTGGAAGATATTGAAGGGGAAAGAACTTTGAGTCTTGAAACTTAGTTCTGTCCCAGTTTTGAAGTGAGGAAATTGATCCGAAGAAGCAAATTTTGTGTTGTGTTCAGAACTCTAACATTGTCTATGGTTGTCCCATAGTTTTTACAGCATAGGAAAGGCAATTAACTTATCTGTAAATAATAAACTTCCAATTGATCCTAGAATTGTTCCCTAAAGAAATGACCAGTGGATTCTGGCCCATGTAATTGTAACCCCTCTGTACAGTATTTTCACAATTAAAAAAAAAAATTAAAAAAAAAAAGAGAAATGACCAGTGGAAAATAAATCAGTGAGAAATCCTTGAGGCCTAACTCAATGTCCACAAACAGAAGACACAAAATTTAATATCAAATACACAGAGAGGGAAGGCTATACCTGAGGAAAGCAGATAAGAACCAATGTCTTGCCGGTGCCAGTGGCTCACACCCGTAATCCTAGCTACTCAAGAGGCTGAGATCTGAGGTTCACGGTTCAAAGCCAGCCCAGGCAGGAAAGTCTATGAGACTCTTATCTCCAATAAAGCACTAGAAAACTGGAAGTGGCGCTGTAGCTCAAGTGGTAGAGGGCTCGCCTTGAGCTGAAGAGTGCAGGGACAGCGCCCCAGCCCAGAGTTCAAGCCCCATGACAGACAAAAAAAAAAGAGCCGGGCGCTGGTGGCTCACGCCTGTAATCCTAGCTACTCAGGAGGCTGAGATCTGAGGATCGAGGTTCAAAGCCAGCCCGGGCAGGAGAGACCGTGAGACTCCTATCTCCAATAAACCACCAGAAAACCGGAAGTGGCGCTGTAGCTCAAGTGGTAGAGGGCTCGCCTTGAGCTGAAGAGCTGAGGGACAGCGCCCAGGCCCAGAGTTCAAGCCCCACGACCGACCAAAAAAAAAAAAAAAGAAAGAAAATAAGCAAATAATTTTCTTATGTTGCTAGGAATTGAATCTAGGGGCTTGCACATGTAAGACAAGGAATATACCTACCATTGCTGGTCCCCTTTAAAGTTGTTTTTTCTTTTTGGTGCTAGCCCTAAACCTTGAATTCAGGGGTTTGGCATAGTCTCTGAGCTTTGATGTTCAAAGCTAGCTTCCTACCACTTGACCTACAGCTCTACTTCCAGCTTTTTGGTGGTCTCATGATTTTCCTGCCCAGATTGCCTTTGAACCATGATCCTCAGATCTCAGCTTCCCGAGTAACTAGGATTACAGGCGTGGGTTACCTATACCTGTCCTCTGTAAAAGTTTTTAAAAGTTGAAAGGAAGAACATTGAAGAAACACACCTATGTTGAGAAAACTGTATGCCCCTGTTGGAATAGCAGAATCAAGGAAGAGCTAATGGCATTTGAGACATTTTAGCTCCTCTTAATGTCTTAGAGACACTGTCCCACCAGTGTTTCTTGGAAACATGGAGGTCTAACCTGTACTATTTATAGAAAACCTATGAAACTGTAGTGCAGTCTTTTCAAGAAACCAAAAGATTTAGTACAGTCAAAGCCTACAGTAATTTAGCCCATTTTGAAAAATGAGAGGAAGACTATGTCAAGGAACAAAACAAGGAGGGCTTAGATGGAGCTTATTAATTAGCTACTAATAAGTTATAAGGAGAACATAGAGACTGAATGGTAGTGTAGTTATATTGGTGCACTTACAAGCCTCCGAAAGCCAAGCTTATAATGAAATGCAGATAATGGATAAGATCAGGGAACTATGTTTTAAAGACATTAAACCTGTCAGAATAATCCTGCTAAGTTTTGCTTCTATAGGAAGTGGTGGGTGCCCTCGTGACCCACATCTGCAGCGGGAATGAAGCTGAAGTGGACGCTGCATTGGATGTCCTCCTCGAGTTGATAATCCTAAACCCATCTGCTATGAGGCTCAATGCTGTTTTTGTGAAGGTATCTACTGGCTGCACTGATACACATCGAACTATTTTTATTTGCTTCATGTATCTGAGCATTATCTGATATGTTAGTAAGTGGCAATGATATTTGATATTCTTTAGATACTTAGCACTGTTATGTTGTGAGAAAGTTTTTTGGTTTTTTTTTTGACAGTGGTGGGGCCTGAACTCAGCCTGGGTGCTGTCCCTCAGCTTTTCAGGTCAAGACTAGCGCTCTAAGCTAGGCGCTGGTAGCTCACGCCTGTAATCCTAGCTACTCAGGAGGCTGAGATCTGAGGATCACGGTTCAAAGCCAGCCCGGGCAGGAGAGACCGTGAGACTCCTATCTCCAATAAATCACCAGAAAATTGGAAGTGGCGCTGTAGCTCAAGTGGTAGAGCTCTCGCTTTGAGCTGAAGAGCTGAGGGACAGCGCCCAGGCCCAGAGTTCAAGCCCCATGACCGACAAAAAAAAAAAAAACAGCCTGGGCAGGAAAGTCTGTGAGACTCTTATCTCCAATAAACCAATCAAAAACTGGAAGTGATGCTGTGGCTCAAGTGGTAGAGCGCATGCCTTGAGCTGAAGATCACAGGGACAGTGCTCAAGCCGAGAGTTCAAGCCCACAACTGACACCCCCTCCCCCCCCCGCCCCCCCCCCCCAAAAAAAGACTAGGGCTCTACCACTTGAGCCACAGCACCACTTCCGAAAGTTGATTTTTTTCATTTTTTCTGTTTTTTGTTGTCGTTGTTGGTCGAGGGACCTGAAATCTGGGCCTGGGCGCTATCCCTCAGCTCTTCAGCTCAAGGCTAGCACTCTACCACTTGAGCCTCAGCGCCACTTCTGGCTTTTTCTGTTTATGTGGAATTGAACCCAGGGCTTCATGCATGCAAGGCAAGTACTCTACTACTGAGCCACCTTGCCAGTCCTGTGAGAAAGTTTGATAGGAAGTTGAATGATAGGCAAGAAACACTTAAAAATATGACACATGTATTTATTAATTAATTTAGCAAATACTCCTTTTTTTTTTTTTTTTTGCCAGTCTTGGGGCTTGAACTCAAGGCCTAGATGCTGTCTTTGAGCTATTTTGCTCAAGGTTAGTGCTCTACCACTTGAGCTCCACTTTCAGAGTTTTGCTGGTTAATTGGAGATAAAAATCTTGCAAGGGGCTGGGAAGGTGGCTCAGTGGTAGAGCACTTGCCTTGCATGCCTGAGGCCCTGAGTTCGATTCCTCAGCACCACATAAGCAGAAAAAAGCCGGAAGTGGCTCTGTGGCTCAAGTGGTAGAGCGCTAGCCTTGAGCTGAAGAGCTGAGGGACAGCGCCCAGGCCCAGAGTTCAAGCTCCACGACCGGACCCCAAAAAAAAAAATCTTGCAGAAGCTGGCACTGGTGGCTCATGCCTATAATCCTAGCTACCTCAGGAGGCTGAGATCTGAGGATCATGGTTCAAAGCCAGCCAGGACAGGAAAGTCCATGAGACTCTTTTTTTTTTTTAAGTTTTTTCTTGTGAAAATACAGTACAGAGAGGTTAATTACATGAGCAAGGTAATGAGTACATTTCTTATCAAGCAATGTTGCCTCCTCCTCTGTTTTTCCCCTACCATCCCTGCCCTCCCATCTACCCTCTCCCCGCTCCCCCCTCCCAATACTCTTATCTCCAATAAACCGCTCAGAAAACTAGAACTTGCACTGTGGCTCAAGTGATAGAGTGCTAGCCTTGAGCAAACGAAGCTCAGGGCCAGTACCCAGGCCCTGAGTTCAAGCCCCAGGTCTGGTAAAAAAAAAAAAAAAAAAAAAGTCTTGCGGACTTTCCTGCCAGGTCTGGCTTTGAACACAATCTCAGATCACAGCCTCCTGATAGCTAGGATTAGAGGCATAAGCCATATTTTTTTTTATAAGCCATATTTTTGTACCTAATTATGTTCCAGCCTTTGCTCTGAATGCTGTAGATATGAAGATCAGTCTTTGTTTTTGATGATAATAAGACACACAAACAAGTCACTAAAATACAGACTGAAGCCAGGCACTGGAGGCTCATGTCTGTAATTCTGGCTACTTAAGGAGGGTGAGATCTGAGCATCCCAGTTTGAAGCAAGCCAGGACAGAAAGACAGGAGGTGAATACCTACTAACCGGGTACTGTGGACTCACATCTGTAATTCCAGCTACTCAGGAGGCTGAGATCTGAGGATGGTGGTTCAAAGCCAGCCTAGGTAGGAAAATCTGTGAGACTCTTATCTCTAATTAACCATCAGAAAACCAGAAGTGGCACTGTGGCTCAAGTGGTAGAGTGCTTGCCTTGAGCTGAAGAGCTGAGGGATGGCACCCAGGCCCAGAGTTCAAGCTCCATGACCCCCACCCCCCCTCAAAAAAAAAAAAGAATACAGAGTACTAGTATGTGTACCAGAATAACTGTGCAAGCCCAGGATTGTGGTTCAGAATGCAGAGGACAAATGAGATTTCTTTTGTTTCTGGTGGTTCCTAGCTTGTGAGAAGAAGGATTTAGTCACAGTTGCCTTCTTAGCTTATTTCCAAAATGTCAAGCCTTTGGGTTCAGAGCACAACTTTTATAATCTAAGTTTTTATAACCTAAGCTTGGCTGAATGATTGTCTGATAAAGATTGTGTTAGACTTCTTATCAATGATTAATACCTTAGAGAACAAGTTGAAGGAGGAAAACTTTATTTTTGCTCTTGATCTCAGATGTTTCTGTCCGTGGTCAGCTGGCTCCATTACTTTGGGCCTGAGGTAAGGCAGAATACCACAGCAGGTGAAGTTGGCAGAGGCTGAGATAAAGGAAGGGGTAGTAGGGATATGACACCTGTTTGAAAAGCATGCTCCTAGTGACATCCTCCAGCTAGGTAGGCCTTACCTTCTTTCACCAGTGGCCAATAAAACCATCATATGATGTAAGAATCTGCGGATGTTGTCAGAGTTCTCAAGATGCATTCACTTTGCAAAAGCTTCTCTGCTGGCAGGCAGGCAGGCTACCATTCATATTGAAGCCATAATAAGGATTTTACTTTTATTTAAGGAGATTAATCATAACTACTAACTTCATTACCGGCATTCTGTTTTCTTACAGGGCATTTTAGATTATCTGGAGAATATCTCCCCTCGACAAATAAGAAAACTCTTCTATATTCTTAGCACACTGGCGTTCAGCAAACAGCATGAAACTAGCAGCCACATCCAGGTAATAGAGAATGTGTAGAGAAATAACCTTATCTTTTTTTTCCTTTTTAAAGTGGTGGTATTTGAATTTTGGATTCAGGAACTTGTTTTTGCTAGCTAAAGCACTTGAACCAAACCTCTAGTCCTTTTTGCTTTACCTATTTTTTGCATATGGTCTTGCATTTTCCCCTGGGGCTGTCCTCAGGCTAGAATCTTCCTATGCTTCCTGCGTAGCTAGGATCACAGGCTGAACCACCCCCTCTGGCTTGTTGGTTGAGATAGGTAGGGTCTTGTTAACTTCTTGTCCAGGCTGGCCTCAACTGTGATCATTTGATTTTCCATCTCCCGGGCTGGGAAGGTGGCTCAATGGTAGAGCTCTTGCCTTGCATGCATGAGGCCCTGGGTTTGATTCCTCAGCACCACATAAGAAAAAAGAAAAATGCTGGAAGTGGCGCTGTGACTCAAATAGTAGAGCGCCAGCCTTGAGCTGAAGAGCTGAGGGATAGCGCCCAGGCCCAGAGTTCACGCCCCACGACCGGACCCAAAAATAAATTAATAAATAAATAAAATGATTTTCCATCTCCCAGGCAGTTGGGATTACAGGTGTAAGCTCCTATACCCAGTTAAGACAGAATCTTTTAAGTCTCTTTATTTTATATTTGCTAGATAAAATTGTTCTAGTCTGTGTAGTGGTAGTAGTAGAAATAGAGGGCATAGTCATAACATCAATTTTTTTTTATTCTTACTACAAGTAAATACATATTGTGTACCAGACACTGAGATACTAGGTATATTAGATCTTCTTCCCTTAAGCCAGCTCAGCTGGGTGCTAATGACTCAGGTCTTTAATCCTCGCTACTTAGTAGGCTGAGACCTGAGAATCACTGTTCGAAGCCTGGAGACTCTTTATCTCCAATTAACTATCAAAAAAGGTAGGAGGGGGCCTATGATGATAGAACCTTTCTTAACATAATTTTTGTTGTTGGTTGTGGTGTTTGTGATTCCAACATGCATATATTTGCTGCCATTCCAACACTTCATCTTCTTTGTCCTTGTCTCATTGAAGGATGACTTGTACCTGGTGGTCCGGAAACAGCTTTCTAGCACTATATTCAAGTACAAGCTCATTGGGATCATTGGTGCAATCACCATGGCTGGAATCATGGAAGGAGACAAGTATGTTGACCTCTGACTGACGTCTGTGGCACTGGATCAATCAAGTTGCTGTCCTACAAAAATAAAATGTTACATAGTATAGACTTCTGTGTGTGTGCATGTGCATGTATATTCTGGGTATAGTGATGTATACCTCGAGTTCCTCTAGCAATCCAGAAGGCCCAGATGGGAGAATGACTTGAACCCAGGAGTTTGAGACAAGTTCAGATAACATAGTGGTACTCATAGAGAGAGAGAGAGAGAGAGAGAGAGAGAGAGAGAGAGAGCCATCCTTTGCTATATTCCATATTTTGTATGGACAAAATAAGTGCTCCCTATGCCTTCATGAATTTTATCTCACTCCTTTCTGAAGGAAAGCAGGATTCTTAAACTTATTGCCAGTTGTTGTAAAATATTACAAAAATGAAACTAAAACTTGTTGTTTTTTTTTTCTAGTAGTTCTTCTTCTACCCAAGGGAGAGCTGACCTGAGCAGTGACAAGTACACACAGGTGAGCCCATGTAATAGAGTTACATTTTATGTGAATGTAAACCTAAAGATTGCTTTTTGTCATTGCTGATTCAGCAGAAACAGTATTTTGCTTTCAAAAGTACCTTTGTGACTTCTTTATACTCATTTTCTAACATTGAAGATTTTCGGTTTCTGTTTTATTTATTTCTATATCTGTCTAATCTCTATAAGCTATATATTTTGAGCAAGAAAACTGAGCCATTGTGAAAGAATTGCAGGTTGAGCTGAGGCAGTGAGTTGGTGGTAGAATGCTTGTCTAGCATGCACAGCTTGATTGAATATAGGGAATAATAGTATAGTGGTAAGTTGGACGGAAAGCTCCTTTAGAGATAGAAAACAGGTCCTTGAATGTTGGGGTGATGTTTCCTTTTTTGTTGTTATTGTGAGTCTTGAACTCAGGGACTGGGCTTTGTCCCTGACCTTTTTCACTGGAGGCTAGCACCCTACCACTTTGAACCACAGCACCACTTCCAGTTTTCTGGTGGTTAATTGGAGATAAGAGTATCACCGACTTTCCTGCCGCAACTATCTTCAAACTGCAATCCTTAAATCTCAGCTTTCTAAGTAGTTAGGATTACAAGCATGAGTCAATGGAGCCTGGCTAGGGACAATTACTATTATTTTTTACTTTATTTTATTTTTTTATTGTTCATGGGGCTTGAACTCTGGGCCTGGGCGCTGTCTCTGAACTAGAGCTCTACCATTTGAGCCACAGCACTTTTTCTATGTATGTGATACTGAGGAATTGAACCTGGGGCTTCGTGTATGCTAGACAAGCACTGTACCACTAGGCCACATTCCCAGCCTAGGACAGTTATTTTTACTTCACTTTTGAAGCAGAGGTAGCTCTTAAAGGTTTCTTAGCATGGAAATGGTGCAATCAAAGTTTTTCTTTAGAAAAATTAATTTGACTGTATGTGTCTAATAAATTTGTAAATGGCATGCGATTGGAAAGAAACAGGATATATGAGGCTCAGGAAAACCTCAGTGAGAGGTTTGCTGGCAAGATTGGAAAGGGAGTTTAGGAAGAGTTGTAGCTTGTTTTTCTCTTTGGCTGCTCCAGGTGACCTCCTTGCTGCAGTTAGTTCACTCCTGTACAGAACAGTCTCCTCGGGCCTCAGCACTTTACTATGATGAATTTGCCAACCTGATCCAGGAAGGAAAGCTAGCTCCAAAAACTTTGGTAAGACAAGAGTCACAGCTTCTTTTTCTTTAACAACTTCTTTTCTCTTTCTCTGCCCTCTTTCTGTTCCTCCTTTCTTCCCTTCCACTGAGATTTGAACTTAAGGACTTGTTCTTGCTAAGCAAGTGCTGTACTACTTGAGCCTATCGCCAGCACTTTTTGTTTTGTTTTGTTTTGAGCCAGTACTAGGCGCCTTACATTCTTTTTTTTTCCCTTTCTCTTTCTTTTTTTCTTTTGTCAGTCATGGAGCCTGGGTGCTGTCCCTGAGTTTTTTTGCTCAAGGCTACTGCTCTACCACTTGAGCTGCAGCTCCACTTCCAGTTTTCTGGTGGTTAATTGGAGAAAAGAGTCTCCCAGATTTTCCTGCTTGGGCTGGCTTTGAAGTGTGATCCTTAGTTCTTAGCCTCCTGAGAAGCTAGGATGACAGGTGTGAGCCACCAGCATCAGGCAGCAACCTTGTTTTTTTTTCTTTTTCTTTTTTGTCTGTCTTGGGGCTTGAACTGTGGGCCCTCAGCTCTTCAGCTCAAGGCAAGCACTCTATCACTTGAGCCACAGTGCCATTTCCGGTTTTCTGAGTGGTTAATTGAAGATAAGAGCCTCACGGACTTTCCTGCCTGGGCTAGCTTTGAACCACAATCCTTAGATCTGTTTCCTGAGTAGCTAGGATTATAGGCATGAGCCACTGGTGCCTGGCTGACCTTGCATTCTTGCTTGGCCTTTCTCTCAAAGCTGCTGTTCTACTACTTAAGCTATAACTCCACTTCTGGCTTTTTTTGCTGGCTAATTGGAAATAAGGGTCTCACTAGTCATTTCTGCTTGGTTGCCTTCAAATCTTAATCTTCAAATCTCAACATCCTGAGTAGCTAGGATTCAGACATAAGCCAGTCTGTTTCTTTTTTTTTTTGGGGGGGGGGGGGGTCCGGTCGTGGGGCCTGAACTCTGGGCCTGGGCATTGTCCCTCAGCTCTTCAGCTCAAGGCTAACGCTCTACCTCTTGAGACACAGCGCCACTCCATCTTTTTTCTTTTTGCTTATGTGGTGCTGAGGAATCGAACCCAGGGCCTCAGGCATGCAAGGCAAGTGCTCTACCACTGAGCCACCTTCCCAGCCCCAAGCCAGTCTGTTTCTTAAAGTAGTAAAGCATGAGAACTGCTTTACAATACATTCTTCTGGCTTCTCTTTTGCAGTGTGAGTTCCTGTAAGCTCTCACAGCTTATAAGGAAGTCTGTTCTTAGGCATCTCATATCAGAGAGTGCTCATGAGGTCTCCTTCCTGTAGTAACAATAATAGTAATAAATTGGAGGAGGCTGTAACTGATGATGGTGTTAGTAGAGTCCTTCCGTTTAACTACCCCCTATCCTATGCCAGACACTGAACAAGGTACTTGCCACCTGTTAACCTCTGTTCTACTTCACAGTGATGAGGTATGTATTCTTCTTCTGTGTAGCAGTGAACACTGAGGTTTGGAAAATTAACAGTAATTTACCTAGCTATGCTGGGCTACACTATCTTTGTATGTTTGTTTGCTTGCTTCCTTCAGGAATGGGCAGGCCAGAATATCTTTAATGATTTCCAGGATGCCTTTGTGGTGGACCTCTGTGTTGTTCCAAAAGGGTAAGTGCCATTTGGCTATACTGGAAAAGAAGTTACACTGATTTTGTTGGTAGCTGATCCCAGCTTAATGCTAACCTTGGCCTCAGTCAAGGTTCCCAATCCCACAGCTTTTTTACTTCTAACATTAAAACCACTGGTTCCTAGCTCTGGAGACAATCAAAGGTCCCCACATGTTCTTTCCTATTTCTAACTTCTCCCTGTAATAATTGGTTTGAAATTGATTTATTCTAGTGTTTTCTCCCATAGTCTTGCTTGCCCTTGAGCTGAGGCATAAAGAATCTGGGTTCTCTTCACAGTGACTTTCCATTTCCTGTGAAAGCCCTCTATGGACTGGAAGAATACAATACTCGTGATGGGATTGCAGTTAATCTCCTACCATTGCTGTCTTGGAAATTTGCAGAAGATAGTGGTCAGATGACTTCACAGGAACCAGGGCAAAAGTCAGTAGTTGTTTTTTGTTTTTGTTTTCCCTTTTTTCTTTTCTGAAGTTTCTGTGTGTTTTGAATGCTCACATTGTCTTTTCAACTTTTGGGGAACTTGAATAAAAAATGTTTCCCCTAAGATGATACTTGGAAGAAGTAGAGGAAAAGGGACAGTTGATATTTTTCTTAGATCTTAGGGCTAAGATTTGTGTTGTCTTCTGAAAGCTAGCAGATAGTGTGCAGGCTATTTCCTTTTCTGTTCTTTACCCCTAACTTTCCTCCTATGAACAACTTTTTCTGCCTCTCTCCCTCCCTCCACACCTTTACTTCACATATACTCCACATACCCTCTGCCTTCTTGCCATTTGAGTTATTATTGTTTCCTGAGAACTTATTATTTCTGGCCACTTATTCTTGGAAGTGAAGTATTTATTTGGGGCAAAACTGTTAGTTACAAGTTGGGCTCCCAGTAGACATAGATCATTTTGACTATAAAGTTTAGTTGTAGCAATGCATTGTTTTTCCCTTTTCAGATTGGTGTCTGCACTGTGCCTGGCTCCCTATTTCCGGTTACTGAGACTTTGTGTAGCAAGACAACATAATGGAAACCTGGAGGAGATTGATGGTCTTTTAGGTATATGAAGTCCTCAGCTCTTCTCTTCCTTGTGGACAAGGGCTGGGCCAGTTCATAGTGTATGTGAGAGGCAGTTCTTTAATGCCCTAAGGCAGTAGAATAGCACAGACAAAGTAGTATATGTATTAGCATCCTCTTATACTAATCACTCAGCTTTTCATTGCTTCCCAATAGTTCTCTCTGATTGTTATTCAGACTTCTTAATTATATTTGTTGATTGCTATATAATAAGAAAATATTTTTTGAGGTTAATCAAAGCTTGATCCATAAGTTCCAACTAAACACAGAGGAACATAGTTCCAGGGGGCAACTTCTAGCTTACTTTGGCTTGAACTAAGGAGAGCTGGAAACATTCGTTTTTCTCTCTTAGATTGTCCTCTATTTCTTACTGACTTGGAGCCCGGAGAGAGGCTAGAGTCCATGTCGGCTAAAGAACGTTCATTCATGTGTTCACTTATATTTTTTACACTCAACTGGTTCCGAGAGGTGAGCAGTTACTGTCCATAAAAGTTTACTTACTGTCCATAGTTTCTTTCAAAAGGATTTTCAGAGGACATTTGTGGCTGGAATAAGCTCCTTCAGTCATTACAGTTTATTACAAAATGGGGAAGGACAGACATTGTTCTTATTTTCAAGAATTTGAAGTACAGAGTTCAAAGTGCTTGAAAGTCATGAAACACCTATGATATACCCCATACTGGTTTATTTTCTCCATACTATTTAATTCATGTAACAACTCTATTCCCACTTTAAGAAATAAAGTCTCAGGTTAAGGCCAGCATGTCACAAAGGGTTGCTAAGAGGCAGAGTAGGACTTGTTTCCCTCAAGACAGTGCCCTCCAGATGTTCCACCTCGGTTCATGACTAGTGCAAGTAGATAGGGATTAAAGGTGATTTTCTAGGGGTGGGGTTATGGCGCAAGTGGTATGGTTGCCTACCTAGAAAGTGCACAGCCCTGAGTTCAATCTCCAGTACTGCCCTTGCCTCTTCCTCCACGCCCTCAAAAGAAAAGTTAGATTTTTTTTTCCACTTTGGTACAGGTTTTCCTTTATCTGTCACCTTGCTGAGAGAAATTCTACATTGTCAGTTGGCAATGTAAAAGTTTGCTATCACTATTGCAAAATACCCAAGACAATTACCTTATAAAGTGAAAGATTTATTTCAGCGTACAGTTTTGGAGTTTCCAGCCTGTGATCAGTGGGCATGTGTTAAGACTGAGCATGTAGAACCTGGGGTAGGGGAATTTTTTCTCTGGCAATGGCTTTTGGATATTTAAAACATCGTTTGGAGACTATACAAAACTATCAAAACTGGCTGGCAGATGTTGGGCAGCTAATGAGAAGCAAGTATCTACATCCTATCATGCACTAGATTTCCTGAGCCTTATAGGGCCTGTAAGAGCTAAGGCATTCCCACCCGATAATGGTAAAACAAAGCCGCTTGCTAGGAGGCAAAAGGTAAGAAGAAAGGGCTGATATGCTATAACTCCCTTCAAGGGCATACCACCCAATGACATAAAGACTCCTCTAAGGCCCCACCTCTGTTTTTTTTTTTTTCCCCAGTCTTGGGGCTTGAACTCTGGACCTGGGAGCTGTCCCTGGGTACCATTTTTTGCTCAAGGCTAGCATTCTACCACTTGAGCCACAGTGCCACTTCCATATTATTCTGTGATTAGTTGGAGGTGATAGTCTCATAGACTTTCTCTCCCAGACTAGTTTGAACCGAGATCCTCAGAGCTTAGCCTACTGAGTAACTAGGATTCCAGGTGTGAGCCAGTGCTACCTGGTAGGCCCCACCTCTTTACGGTCCCACCACCTCGCAGTAGCTAGGGATCAAGGCTTTATCATATGAGTGTTAAGAGGGCTTTTAAGATCTAAACTATAAAACTCACAAGTATGCTGCCAAGTGACCTTGTTCAGCTCTCAATGGGTCATGTAGTAAGGGTAGAATCTGAACATGTCAAAGTATAAACATATAATTTGTGCTTGTAGGTTATGAATGCCTTCTGCCTACAAACACCACCTGAGATTAAGGGGAAGCTACTCACTCGGTTAAAGGACATTGTAGGGCTGCAGGAAATCTTGGAAAAGTACTTGGCAGGTAAGGAGATCCTATCCTGAGAGCCCCAGTATGTCCATGTTAAGAGATAAAGTATTTAGCTGTGTGTGTGTGTGTGTGTGTGTGTGTGTGTGTGTGTGTGTGTGTGTGTGTGTGTGTGTGTGTGTGTGTGTGTGTGTGTGTGTGTGTGTGTGTGTGTGTGTGTGTGTGTGTGTGTGTGTGTGTGTGTGTGTGTGTGTGTGTGTGTGTGTGTGTGTGTGTGTGTGTGTGTGTGTCCCCATCCGTTCCTGTGTCTGTGTTTCCTGGGGCTTGAATTCAAGGCCTGGGCACCATCCTTGAACTTCTTTGTCTCAAGGCTAGTGCCCTACCACTTGAGCCACAGTGCCACTTCTGGCCTTTTCTGAGTAGTTTATTGGAGATAAGAATCTCAGGGACTTTTCTGCCTGGGCTGGCTTCTAACTTCGATCCTTAGATTTCAGCCTCCTGAGTAGCTAGGATTATAGACATGAGCCACCAATGCACACCAACACCAATCAGCTTTTAATTCTGGTTCAGTAGCAGTCTCCTACACCTCTGATTAAAAGAAAAGTTATAATATTTTAATAAAAGCTAAAATACATGTAAGTAATATGTATGTATGAAATTGTATGTGAATTTTGCTTCCATAAACTTGATGTGAGTTGTTGTATTCCTAATTGTAAGGAAGAGATCTTTATTCCTGCCATGAGAAAAAGTAAAAATCAAAGAACTTAAAATTCCAGTTTACCACAGAATGATTGATGACTTCAGTATTCTAACTCTGCATCTTGCTTCCTTATCAGGGGGCAAGTCTTCAGGACAAGGCTCTGAAAAAGTACTGCTTTGGGTGAAACAGCAATTGAGACAGGTCCTGTCCCTAGGAGGTGGGCAGCCACATACTTATTCATGAACATATTTACTATTTTGGACAGCAGCAGATTTGGTCCTTTACTGGATGCTCCCTTGTTACATCTCAGTAACCGTTTTTTTTTTTTTTAAATTGTTCCTGGGGCCTGAACTCAGGGACTGGGCATTGTCCCTGAGCTTTTTCACTCAAGGCTAGTGCTCTACCATTTTGAGCCACACTCCACTTCCTGTTTTCTGGTAGTTAATTGGAGATGAGTATCACGGTCTTTCTTGCCTGGCTGGTGTCAAACTGCAATCTTCAGATCTCAGCCTCTAGCCTCCTGAGTAGCAGGATTATAGGCGTGAGCCACCAGCACCTGGCTAATAGTTTCTTTTTGGATAGGGCCCAATTTATGTCATCTGAGTTCACAGAGAACTTGCTGAGAATAGAAATGTTGGATTAGAACATTTGAACTTTCTCTTAAATTTCATTATTTTTCTTTCTTGGAGTCTCAACAATAAATGAGATTGACTGACATGGTATATTTCAGCAATAGGAAATTCAAGTTTCATTTTAGGTCACAGCAAAAGCCAGGAGTCCCAAATGCCAAGGTCCTCAACTAGTTATATTATTATCTTAGATACAGGTAATTCTTTGAGGGTTAGAAGGAAATAAGAGATCTGATAGTAGAGCATGATATACTCCTGGATTATAACTTAAGCTTCTTCATATACGAGGCTTCTTTCTTATTCCCACATTGGTCTGGAACTTGGTTCAGAACATTTAAAAGCATTTCAAGATGAAGAATCTGCTGTCCTCAAGGTCCCTAATGTCTCAGCAATTATTTTTATTAATGTACATCATTGGACAAGGGGTTTTCATTGTAACATTTCTACATATACATACAATTGAATAAAAATATTTTTATCAGTCCTGGAGCTTGAACTCAGGGCCTGGGCACTGTCCCTGAGCTGCTTTTTGCTCAAGGCTAATGCTCTACCACTTGAGTGACAGCACCATTTCCGGCTTTTTCTGTTTATGTGGTACTGAGGAATCGAACCCAGGGCTTTATGCCTGGTAGGCAAGCACTCTATCACTAAGCCACATTCCCAGCCCTTGAATAAAATTTTTTTCAGCATTTTGTATATATGTAAGTATGTATGTATATGCGTGTGTGTGTGTATGTGTGTACCCGTGCCTATGTCTGTGCCTGTACTGAACTTAGGATCACTCACTTTTACTCAGTTTTTTCAATCATATGTGGCACTCCACCATTTGAACCCCACCTTCAGTTTTGGCCTTTTGATGGTTAATTGTATACCCAGATTGGCTTCAAACCACAATCCTCAGATCTCAGCCTCCTGAGTAGCTAGGATTATTAGATGCAAACCATTACCCTTTGCTTATTTTCTGTTAGGAGTAAATATTCACAATAGGAACAAAATGGATGTACACATTAAAAATTTTAGTTGCATTGAAATAGCATAACGAACTTCAATGAGATATTGCCCCAGTGGCTCATGCCTGTAATCATAGCTACTCAGGAGGCTGAGATCTGAGGATTAGGATTCAAAGTCAGCTCAGTCAGGAAAATCCAAGAAACTTTAGTCTCCAATTAACTAGCAAAGATCCAAAGGTAAAGGTACAGCTCAAGTGGTAGAATGCCACCTTTGAGGGAAGAAAAGCAAATGAGAGTGTGAGACCCTGAATCCAAACCCAAGTACTAGTATATGATATAAACTGGCTTGAAATCTGGGCCTGATAGGGTTCACCTACAATCCCAGTTATTCAGGAGGAAGACATACAATAACAGGATCACAGTTTAAAACTGACTCCAGCCGAAGTCAGGAGACTCTACATCAAAAATGAGATAATATGGTACTATGGCTCAATTATTTGAGGCCTTGAGTTCAGTCCTCTAGTACCATAAAATAAATTGAATGAATTAAATGGAGGAGGGAGAAAGAAAAGGAGTGGATGCTGGCTGATCTCCTGGAGAAAATATGGACCCTCAAGTCTTCATCTAAAATAATAATAAAACAATCTACTGTGGCTAATGTTAGTAAGTTTATTTTTAGTCCTTTTTCTATTTGATTGTTTTATGTCATTTATTTATTCATCAGCATTGGTTACAATAATATTCTTCTAATTTCTCTAGCTGTTTTGCTATGCATTATAGTGTCCAATAACTTGAGTGTATCTTCACATACAGTCACTGCTTCAGTTGGTAATTTTGGAGAACAGTTTCAGCCAGCTGGGTGATTGCATTCTAGGTTTGTGTGTTTGGTTAGTACCAAGCCTGCTTGCTCTCTATTTCAGTCACTCCAGACTATGTTCCTCCTCTTGCACATTTTGACTTGGAAACTTTAAATGGAATACCTCATAGCAGTTCTGCTTCAGCAAAAAACAGGAAAAAAACAAAGATAGGTGAGTATGTTCTTCTCCCTTTATCTCTGTCATTAATCAGATTATGTATCAAGGCATCAGTTTGTGTGCTTGAATCTTTTCTTTACCAGCTTACTATAATTTAGTTTTCAAGAACTTATTTCCTGAGGGCTGCAGTGTTTATCAAAACAGGATTATTAACTACTTGAGTCATTTTTCCCTTTTATGCAATACAAGGAGGAATAAAACGAAAAGCAGATGGCAGCAAAGTATTGTCCCCTGACAAACTTTCCAAGGAGGATAACACAGAATGTGACCCTGAGCTGTCTGGTAGAAGCCACCTAGACAAGGTATTGGAATGTGTGTGTGTCAAGGTGTGTGTCAAGGTGTGTGTCAAGGTATGTGAAGGCCAGTGAGGTCTACTGATTTCTTGCATTTTAGGAAGCAAATAATTAGGGAGCAGATAAACAGGTGGAATCTGCTAACAGCAAAGTTTGAAGGAGAGTCTCAGACTTGATCTCTGCCATATCATTGTTTTTTCTAATTACTCCTTTTTTTTTTTTGGGTCCAGTTGTGGGGCCTGAACTCTGGGTCTGGGCGCTGTTCCTCAGCTCTTTAGCTCAAGGCTAGCGCTCTACCACTTGAGCCACAGCGCCACTTCCGGCTTTTTTCTTTTTGCTTATGTATGCTGAGGAATCGAACCCAGGGCCTCATGCATGCAAGGCAAGGGCTCTACCACTAAGCCACCTTCCCAGCCCCTAATTACTCCTTTTTTATTTTCATTTATTTTACTTAATTGTTTTGTGTGTGGTATTAGAGATTGTATGCTAGGCAAGTACATTGCCACTTGAGCTTAAGTAGATACTCTACCACTAGAGTGTTTATTTATTGTGTTTTTGGGCTGGTGCTTGAGCTTGACTTCAGAGACTCATGATTTTACATTTTTTTCTCTACCACTTGAGCCACGCCTCTACTTCTTGGTTTTTGTTGGTTCATTGGAGATGAGTCTTCTGGATAAATTGAGATAACTTAAACTGCAGCTAGTTGTTGTCACCTATTCCTGAAATGATACCATTCACAAGATCTATTTCACATGTTTGTGAAACTTCCTAAACACTGCCTCTAATTCTGTTTTAGCTACCTTTGTTTTGTTTACATACGTATGTAGATAGATAAATACCTATTAGAGAAGATAGATATGATCTATCTAGATATCTATTGATAGACATATCTTTTTTTTTTTTTTTTTGCCTCCGGTCGTGGGCCTGAACTCTGGGCCTGGGCGCTGTCCCTCAGCTCTTCAGCTCAAAGCTAGCGCTCCACTACTTGAGCCACAGCACCACTTCCGGCTTTTTTCTTTTTGCTTATGTGGTGCTGAGGAATTGAACCCAGGGCCTCAGGCATACAAGGCAAGCGCTCTACCACTGAGCCACCTTCCCAGCCCTGATAGACATATCTTGACATAGATATATCAATGATACACATCTTGTCTAATTTTCCTAAAAACTCAGAATTTGCATTAGTATCTACACAATTCCCTGAGAAGATAAGTGAGATTCTTCCTGAGACACAAAATGTGTAATTTCTTCAACTCAGATGTGAAGTCAGCTCTTCCTAGCTACTAAGTCCATTTTTTTTTTCTTTTGTCAGTCATGAGGCTTGAACTCTGGGGTTGGGTCCCTGAGGCACTCTTCAGCTCAACAGGAATGCTCTACCACTTGAGTCACAGTGCCACTTTGGGTTTTCTAGTGGTTTATTGGAGATAAGAGTGTCATGGACTTTCTTGCCCAGGCTGGCTTTGAACTGTGATCCTCAGATTTCAGCCTCCTGAGTAGCTAGGATTACAGGCGTGAGCTACCAGCTCCTGGCAAGTCTATAAATTTCTAAGCATACTTTGATGCCTTGGTTTGCCTAGTTGTTCAGCCCTAAATAAAAATGAACCCCAAGTGGTAGTTTTTATTTACGTGCCCGTGTTAAATTGTGCTCTAGATTTTGGTGAAAGAAATATGGTGATGGAACGAAAATATGGCAGCAAGGCTCAAGTGGTAGCATGCATGCCTAGCAGGCACAAGGCTCTGAATTCAAATCCCAGTACTGACAAAAAAGGAAATCTCCATGTAAAAAAGTGAAATTTTTTACATGAATTGAATGCATATTTGGACTGTCTGTAAAAATTAGACTAACAGCTGAGCACTGATGGCTCATGCCTATAATCCTTGCTACTCAGGAGGCTGAGATCTAAGAATCACCATTCAAAGCCAGCCCAGGCTCCAAAGTCTGTGAGATTCTTTTCTCCAAATAATTACCAAAAGCTAGAAGTGGAGCTGTGGCTCAAGTGGTAGAGTGCTAGTGCTGAGCAAAAATGCTCAGGAACAGTTGCCTAGGCCTTGAGGTCAAGCCTAGGCTAGCCACCCCCCCTCCCAATATTAGATTAACATAGAAAATTTACTTGTTCTTTGATTGCTGTTACTTTCCTGGCAGGAGTCCATTGAGATGGAAGGAAAGAAGTCAGTGTCATTACAGAATTACCATGCTTTTTTCCGAGAGCTGGACATTGAAGTCTTCTCTATTCTACACTGTGGGCTTGTGACAAAGGTCATCTTAGATACTGACATGCATACTGAAGTAAGTGACTGACTGTAATCCAAAAGCCTGACATTTCAGAAAGTTCCTTAGGTCCATTCTTATTTTTAGGAAAGGAATGACAGGAGGGAGGGCTGGGTGCTGGTAGGACATGCCTGTAATCCTACTACTCAGGAAGCTGCAATCTCTCAGCTCTTCACCTCAAGGCTAGCGCTCTGCCACTTGAGCCAAAGTGCCAGTTCTGGCTTTTTTTTTCTGCTTATGTAGTGCTGAGGAATAGAACCCAGGGCCTCATGTATGCAAGGCAAGCACTCTACCGCTGAGCCATCTTCCCAGCCCCTCTTTTTTAGCTTTTTAAGGAGGGTCATTCATATTTGTCCAGTGCTAGCCTCAAACCTCAGTCTTCTTACCTACATCCTTTCTGGAAACTCACCTCAAGCTAACACTTAGATGTGATCTCGCTAACATTTCCCAGGCAGACTTCAGCCCCTCCTCCTGTGATAACTTGTCATCAGACTCTCCAAATTGCTAGGATTACAGGCATGAGAGGCTGGAGACATTGTGGCTAGTCAGCAGATGCCTTTTTTTTTTTTTTGGGTGGTAATGGGATTTCAGCCTGTTCTATCTAGTACATGCTAAACAAGTGCTCTACCACTTGAATCACTGTACCAGCCAACTGCAGATAACTTTTAAAAAGACATTTTAGTGAAAAGTAGAGATTCTCCAGACTAAAAACAATTGAAATATCATGAATTCTTACAAGATTATAGGCATATTTTGCTTTTGGAACAGGATCATATTACCTTTTTGTCTAGACTGGCCTCAAACTTGTGGTCCTCCTGCCTCTGCTTCCCACTATGTAGGATTACTGGCAAACTTATTTTGACTTCTGATAAATTGACAGAACAGTCATTCTTTATATGTAGTAGAGAGATTTTATTTTTTTCCCTTTCACATTAGAAGTCAGGTTCTTGCTCAGCACTGGTGGCTTATGCCTGTAAACATGGTTATACAGGAGACTGATACCTGTAGTATTCTCAGTTCAAAGCCACCCCATGCAGAAGTGTGAGACTTTATATCGAGTTAACTAGCACAATGCTGGACTGGAGGCATGGCTCAAGTGGCAGTTTGCCAGCCATATGCAAGAAAGCCTAGCCAGGGTGAGGTTCTGAGTCAAGCCCCACAAAAGAAAGTCAAGTTCTTTTTTTTTTTTTTTGTCGGTCGTGGGGCTTGAACTCTGGGCCTGGGCGCTGTCCCTCAGCTCTTCAGCTCAAAGCGAGCGCTCTACCACTTGAGCTACAGCGCCACTTCCGGTTTTCTGGTGGTTTATTAGAGATAGGAGTCTCACGGTCTCTCCTGCCCGGGCTGGCTTTGAACCGCGATCCTCAGATCTCAGCCTCCTGAGTAGCTAGGATTACAGGCGTGAGCCACCAGCGCCCGGCGAAAGTCAAGTTCTTTACCTACCATCCATGGGTGAGTGGAGTGAATGTGAAATGTGCCAGCACTACAGGATGTAGAATACACTTAGGATTAATCCCCCTTTCCTCATGAAACAGGCTACAGAGGTTATGCAACTTGGGCCTCCTGAGCTGCTTTTCTTGCTAGAAGATCTCTCCCACAAGTTAGAGAATAAGCTGACACCTTCTTTTGCCAAGAGAATTCCCTTCTTCAAGGTAAGTGGAGGCAGAGAAATAGGACTTGAGTTTAGTGGATGTGGAAACAAGCAAATGTTAGTAATGAGTAAGTTGTCCCTTTTGTGTTTGGGTCACTGGGTAACAGCCTCAGATGTATAGAATAGGTATAAGCATGTACATCTAGCATTTAGGGGACAAGTAGTAAAATGTGACATTTGAACATTAATGCATCCGGTTCCTTGGTTCTTTCTTTGTATTATTTGGTCTGCATTCCTGTCACGCTATATACCTCCTGGTTCAGCCTGGACTACAGTGCTCCTATTTATGTTTTCTGCATAGCTGAGGAATACCTACTTTATACTTTGTTCACCTCATTTGTTCTGATGGGCCTGTTTCTTTCTTTCTTTTTCTTTTTTTTTTGGTTGGTCGTGGGGTTGAACTCTGAGCCTGGGCAATGTCCCTCAGCCCTTTAGCTCAAGGCGAGCACCTCTACCATTTAAGCCACAGCGCCACTTCTGGTTTTCTGGTGGTTTATTGGAGATAAGAGTGTCACAGACTTTCATGCTCAGGCTGGCTTTGAATCACAATCCTCAGATCTCAGCTTCCTGAATAGGTAGGATTACAGGCATGAGCCACTGGTTCCCGGCTGGGCCTAAGTTTCTTAATCAAACACTATTATTACTCCACAAAAATTATTCTCTTGATAATTCTTTTGTCAGAATAGCATACTAGAGAGCTGAGCGCTGGTGGTTCATGCCTGTAATCCTAGCTACTCAGAAGGCTGAGATCTGAGGATGGAAGTTCAAAGCCATCAAGGGCAGGAAACTCCTTGAGACTCTTATCTGCAATTAACCACTAGAAAACCAGAAGTGGTGTTGTGGCTCAAAGTAGTAGAGTGTTAGTCTTGAGCAAAAAAGCTCAGGGACAGTGCCTAGGTCTTGAGTTCAAGCTCCAGGACTGACCCCGCCCCCTAAAAAAATTGTATACTAGGCAAGTAGCTCAGGTCTCCTTCCACTCGTACCTGGGATCATAACTCCTTAAATGAATTTTTTTTTTTTTTTTGGTCAGCTGTGGGGCTTGAACCCAGGACCTGGGTGCTGTCTCTGAGTTCTTCTGCTCAAGGCTAGTGCTCTACCACTTTGAGTCACAGCTCCATTTACAGATTTTTTAATTGATGAGTCTCACAGACTTTCTTGCATAGACTGGCATTGAACCATGATCCTCAGACCTCAGCCTTCTGAGTAGCTATAGGCATTAGCTACAGACGCCAGCCTTAATGATTTCAGAGAATCTGTCCAATAGTTTCTTTCCCCATAAGTCTGATTTTATTGTAGAATAAAGGAAGCTGGAATGTTGGATTCTCACATCTCCATCAGAAATCTACCCAGGAAGTTGTTCATTGTGTTGTTCAGCTATTGGCCCCAATGTGTAACCATTTGGAGAACATTCACAACTACTTCCAGGTCAGAGACTATCTTACTGTCTTAGAGACTTAGAAATCACTAAGTCAACATAAGAGTTCAGTTGTTGATGAGAAAAATTAAGGAAAATTGTAATTACTAGAGAACCTGTCTTAAGATCTTCTTTCTTTTTTAGTGCTCAGTTGCTGAGACTCATGTTGCTGATAGGCAGGGAGGGAAAACTCAGGAATCCCACATAATGTCTTCCTGTTATCAGAAGCTGCTACAGATTTTTCACAGCCTTTTTGCTTGGTAAGTATTTATGGAAGGTGTACAAGTAAGTAGTGTTAAGTATGCACTTTACTTGATACTGAGTAACTAAGGTAGAGAGAAGAAAAAAAATATGGAAACTCTATGTCACTATGCTTTATTCTTCATTTGCTCTTGCACCCCTTCCTTTTATGGAGCCATTATTATTAACTCATGTGGTATTCTTCTGACAATATGAGCAACCAAGAACAAAATCAGGGCATCAAGCTTGGTAGGCATGTACTCTACTTGAGCCATGCTCTCAGCCCATTTTGCTTTTGTTATTTTTTAGATATGGTCTTGCTTTTTCTTTGGGTTAGCCTGAATCACAATCTTCCTATTTATGCTTTTCACATAGTTGGAATGACAAATTTGTGCCACTGCATCCAGATTCTTATTAGTGAGATGGGGTTTCAGAGACTTTGGCCTAGGTTGTCCTAGAACCACATTCTTCTCAATCTCTGCCTCCTAAGTAGCTGGAATTACAGAAGTGAGCCACTGCACCCTCCCCTTCTTAGTCTTATTGAATTGTGTAATAGCCGGGGGGAGTGTATGTAGTAAGATATATCTGTAGAGCCAGTTACTTGGGATGCTGAGGTGAATGTATTGCTTCAGCTGATATGTTTGGGTGACAGAGTGAGAACCTATTTCAAAAAAATAACTAGACTAAAAGCATTTATTTATTTTTATTTTTTGCTGGTTCTGGGGCTGGTACTGAGGGCCTAGTACTCTTGTTCAACTTTTTTTGGGGGAAGGGGGGCTCCATCGTAGGTCCTGAACTCTGGGCCTGGGTGCTGTCCCTCAGCTCTTCAGCTGAAGGCTAGCGCTCTACCACTTGAGCCACAGGGCCACTTCCAGCTTTTTTCTTTTTTCTTATGTGGTGCTGAGGAATCGAACCCAGAGCCTCATGCATGCAAGGCAAGTGCTCTACCACTGAGCCACCTTTCCAGCCCTCTTGTTCAACTTTTGCATTTAAAGCTTGTGATCTACCACTTGAGCTGTACTTCCATTTCTACCTTTTTAGTGGTTAATTGGAAATAAAAGAGTCTCACAGTTTCCTGCCTGGGCTGGCTTTGAACTGTTGTCCTCAGATCTCAGCCTCCTGAATAGCTAGGATTATAGGTATATGCCACTGCCAACTAGCTGAGGCTTTTAGTTAAGGAATTGTTTCTAAATAAGTTGTAATTAAATCTCAAATTATGTTGTAAAGAGTTAAACACATGCCGGGCGCTGGTGGCTCACGCCTGTAATCCTAGCTACTCAGGAGGCTGAGATCTGAGGATCGCGGTTCAAAGCCAGCCCGGGCAGGAGATACCATGAGACTCCTATCTCCAATAAACCACCAGAAAACCGGAAGTGGCGCTGTAGCTCAAGTGGTAGAGGGCTCGCCTTGAGCTGAAGAGCTGAGGGACAGCGCCCAGGCCCAGAGTTCAAGCCCCACGACCGACAAAAAAAAAAAAGAATTAAACACATTGTCAGCTAGCACTTCTCAGAACACTGCATAAGCACTGAGGCTTGATGAGGTCCTTAAAGGGTAGATAGACTGTAGGGAGATAGAGAGTTGGAAGGCACATCTCGGAGAAAGTAGAATAAGGAGGTGTGTCTTTTAAATCCTAGTCTTCAGAGATAGGTCCTCTCACATCCATCCCTTTACACAGGTTTTCAGGGCAAGCTTTCCCAAGCTTAAATGTATGCTTAATTTTATCTTCTGAGCTATAGGTATTTATATCCAGCTGACTGCTGAGCGCCCACTCATCCAAAATGAATGTATCATCTCTTTCCCCAGCTCTGCATGGCTCAGTAAATGGCATCCCCAGTTGTCTGAGTCAAAAACCAGGAGCTATGCTCTGGACACTTTCTCTCTGGGATCCCAGAATTCTTATGATTCTGTCTTCTAGGTGACATTCAGTTAGTCATCTGTTACTGTCTCCGTCTCTCCACTGCTTCTACCTTGCCAACATCTCTGTCCTGGACTAAGTCTCATTTCTTGTCCCTCTGATTACTACTAGGTTTTTCTTAAGTTCATACTCTTGTCTAGCTTTTTAGGCCCCTACTGTCTGACTTTCCCCTATTGTCTTTCCCTCTGCCTGGGACCATACTGAATTCATTTGGTCACTAAGCTCACTTTCAGCCGAAAGGATTCACACTCATACTTCCACCACAATTTCCACACTTCTTGATCTTTTCAGATTCACTTCATTTCTTTTTTTTTTTTTTTATTGTGAACATACTGTACAGAGGGGTTACAATTACATGGGCAAGATAATGAGTACATTTCTTATCAAGCATTGTAGCCTCCTCCTTTGTTTACCCTTCACATCCCTTCCCAGCCTCCCCCCACTCCCCCACCCAGTCTTCCCCCCCCCAAAGTTATAAAGTTCGTTTTCGACATGACAACTTGTACTTCTCATTGTTGCAACGGGTCCACCTGTATCCTTAAATGACTTGTTTTTCCCCTTCTCCTCCACAAATTATACTGACATCAAATATAGTGAAAGCAAGGGTTATACTGTGGGGGAGGGATTCACTTCATTTCTTGAGATTTGAATTTATATTTCACTTCTTCACAGGCATTTTCTCTAACCCAAAGACTAGTTAAACTGTTCTCTCTTCTTACCTCCTAGTACCCTTCCCCTACTCTGTTGTCTCTCATGATTAAAACCACATTTTGCTGTGATTACTTATTTGTCTTTCCTGCTAGATTGTAAGCTCTAGTCATTTTTTGAGTCCTTTGTACTTAAAAGAAATGAGTGATTGGAAGAGATAGTTTGTGTGTGTGTGTCCATGTATATGAACAGGCACTGAAGCTTAAGCTCAGGGCCTTACAACTCTTGCTCAGATATTTTGTTCAAGGTTAACACTCTGCCACTTGAGCCATGCCTCCATTTTCAGCTTTGTGCTGGTTAATTGGAGATAGTCTTGTAGACGCTTCTGCTCAGAATGGCTTTGCACTATAATCCTCAGATCTCAGCCTCCTGAGTATCTAGGATTGTAAGTGTGAGCCACTGACACCCAACATTGAAAACAGATACTTCATCTAGGAGATAACAAAAGATGGCAATTAAACAAACACATAGAATGATGTTTATTATTAATAGTTATTAAAGAAATGCACAATGAGATAGGGTAGCACACCCACTAACGTGGCTAACTAAAAGTGTCAGCGAGAAGGTGAAACAACTGATAGACTCACCTGCAGTAGTAGGGCTGTAAAAAGTAGAGCTGTGGCTCCAATGGTAGAACGCCAGTTGAGCACAAGAGTTAAGTGAGAATGTTAAGTTCTGAATTTAAGCCCTACTATTGGCACGCGCGTGCGTGCGCGCGCGCGCACACACACACACACACAAAAGGATGGGTGCCATTGGTGGTTTGGAAAGTTTTTATGAGGAAATGATCTAGAAGTTCAATTTTCCTGGGCCTTGAAGGTTGGGCAGAAGAATGTGAATGTGTAGAAAAGCAATTTTAAAGTTTTCTCCAGCCATAATACAATAAAATCTGTGTTTTAAGAAAATCTTTTTGGGGGCTGGGAAGGTGGCTCAGTGGTAGAGCGCTTGCCTTGCATGCCTGAGGCCCTGGGTTCAATTCTTCAGCACCACATAAGCAAAAAGAAAAAAGCCGGAAGTGGCGCTATGGCTCAAGTGGTGGAGTGCTAGCCTTGAGCTGAAGAGCTGAGGGACAGTGCCCAGGCCCAGAGTTCAGGCCCCATGACCAGACCCCCCCCCAAAAAAAGAAAAAAAATCTTTTTGGTGGGGCACAGGTGGCTCATGTCTATAATTCTGGCTACTCAGAAGGCTGAAATCTGAGGGTTACAATTTGAAGCCAGGCTGGGTGGGAAAGTCCATGAGATTCTTACCTCCAATTAAGCAGCAAAAAGCTGGGAGTGGAGAAGTGGCGTAAGTGGTAAAGTGCCAATCTTTTTTAAAATTTATTTTTTAAATTGCTATTACAAAGGTGATAAACGGGGGCATAAATCAGATAATGAGTACATTTCTTTTGGGACCTTTTTACCCCTTCCTTGCTATCATATGATTTTTCCCTCCTGGCCCTATCTGCAAGTTGTATAGTTCATTTTCAATACAGTAGAGTGCCAATCTTGAGCGAAAAAGCTAAAGGGACAGCACCCAGGCCCTGAGTTCAGCACCAAAAATAAAAGAAAGCAAAAACCTCTTTGATAGACATATTAGATGAATTCGAAAGGAACACACACACTTATTTAGAAAATACTGCCATGAACTACTCATGTGACAAGGAAAAAGGCCTTGTCTAAAGTGCTGGTCTGGGCTTGAGAAGAACTTTCAAGACTTGACTTGTTAACATAGAGAAAGGGATACTTTCTATTTTTAGCACATACCCATCGAGATTTTTTTTTTTTTTTTTTGGTCAGTTGTGGGGCCTGAACTCTGGGCCTGGGTGCTGTCCCTCAGCTCTTCAGCTCAAGGCTAGTGCTCTACCACTTGAGTCTCAGCCCCACTTCTGGCTTTTTCTGCTTATATGATGCTTAGGAATCGAACCCAGGGCCTCATGCATGCAAGGCAAGCACTCTACCAACTCTACCACTGAGCCACCTTCCCAGCGCCCCCATAGAGAATTTTGATGTAGAAATTCTGTATGTTGACTTAGATTCTGCAGAAGACTGACATCCTTGAGATGTAGGGAATGAGAAAATAACACACTGAGTGCTGTTAGATTTTTAAGGAAAGACTGGGAACATTTGGACTTAGAGCTATGATTGAATTTGATACTTGAAACTTAACAGTTCTCTGCAAACCTGTTGACTTGCTGCTGGTACAGGCTGGAGGCCTCCAATGCTGTCCAAATAATCTTCTCAAAGCCAAGAAAACCTCTTAACCACCTTATCTTGACTCTCTTTTAGGAGTGGATTTTTTCACACTGGAAATCGTAATTTGCTATACTCAGGCCTTGAGGTTCTTGCTAGCCGGCTGAAGCAGATAGAACGGGATCACCCGTTGGATGAGCTGATCAGGTAGGTGAAACTGTGTCCTAGAGTATGTTTACAAGAAATGTGAAGGAAGTTTATATTTTCAGGTTTTTCTTACTTTGTGAACTTTTTCACTTATGAATTCTGATAAATTTTGAAGCCTTAAAAAAGTACCTTGAATAAATTCATGCATACATCAGCCTATAAATTTTACTCCTGTTTAGGTAATGATGATAAAAAAACATTATCCTCCTACTTAAGTTTCATTTTTGGTTAAAGTAGGGAGTCAAACTGAATAGGCTGTCCTCAAACTTGCGGTCTTTCTGCTCATCACCCCACGTGCTGAGATTGCAGGTGTGTGCTACTATACCTAGCTCTTAATCAACTTTTTTTCTTTTTTTTTTTTTGCCAGTCCTGGGGCTTGAACTCAGGGCCTGGCCTCTGTCCCTGAGCTTCTTGTTTGTTTGTTTGTTTTGTTTGTGTCAGTCATAGGGCTTGAACTCTGGCCCTGAGTATTGTTCCTCAGCTCTTCAGCTCAAGGCTAGCGCTCTACTACTTGAGCTATAGTGCCACTTCTGGTTTTCTGGTGGCTTATTGGAGATAAGAGTTTCTAGTCAGTAGTGGTTGTGTGCATCTACAATCTCAGCTACTTGAATGGCTGAGGCAGGAGAATTACAGAGTTAAGACTGTTCTTGACAACATAGCAAGACTAATCTCAAAATAAAACTACTGCAAAAGTAAGAAGGCCAAGAAACACATTGAGGACTCAACATCCCTGACAATAAGGAAATGCAAATCAGAACAACTTTGGGATTCCGTCTTACTACAGTAAGCACTTTACCACTTGAACCTGAGCTCCATTTCTGCTTTTTGGGTCTTTTTGCTGGTACTGGGGCTTGAACTCTAGGCCTAGATAGTCCCTGAGCTTCTTTTACTCAAGGCCAGTGCTCTACCACTTGGCTTTTTCTGTGATTAATTAGAGGTAAGAGTCTCACAGACTTTCCTGCCCAGGCTGGCTTTAAACCACAATCCTCAGATCTCAGCCTCCTGAGTAGCTAGGATTGTATGTGTGAGCCACCAGTGTCTGGCTCCACTTCTGCTTTTTGACAGTTAATTGGAGTTAAGAGTCTCATGGACTTTCCTGCCTGTGCTGGCTTCAAACCTCAGTCCTCAGATATTAGCTTCTCAGTAGCTAGGATATGGGCGTGAGCCATTGGCACCCAGTTGGAACTTTGATTTCTTGGACTTCCTTTGAATCAGAGTTGGCTTCTGTTTTGTTTTATTAAAGTGATGGCACAGTTTTCTAGGGCAATACACACTTTGAGTGGACTTAAATGGGTCATCTCTAGGGAAAGAATGACTAGTGTTTTGATTTATTTTGCATTGCTGGGGGGTTTACTCCAAGTCCTTGCACATGCTAGACAAAAGTTTATCACTGAATTGTTCTGTAGTTGTGTGCCACATGTTATAGAACAAGTTTTGTTATTTCCTTCAGTGCTGAGGAGGGATCCTAGGGCCTTTTGCATACTAAGCAAGTGCTCTACCATTGAGCTATATTCCCAGCCCCCTTGTTTTATTTAAATGGCTAATTTTAATTCCTTATCGTTCATCATTTGCTTGGATTGAAAGCTGACCATATATGACACATGCCTTTTAAAAAAAAAAAAGAAAAGAAAAAAAAAAAGGAGAGAAAAATAGGTAACGCTGCACCAGGACTCTCATCCAGGGAGGTTGAGATTTGAAGATTATGGCTCAAAAGCAGCGCAGGTAGGAAAGTCTGTGAGATTCTTATCTCCAGTTAACCACCAAAAAGCTGGAAGTGGCTCTGTGGCTCAAGTGGTAGAGTGCTAGCCTTAAGCAAAAACAAACAAAAACAAAAACACAAACCTTCAGGGACTGCACTCAGGTCCTGAGTAAGGCCCCAGGACTGGTTCATCCTACTGAGGAGGTGGAGATTGGAAGGATCAAGGTTAGAGGTCTGCTGGGGCAAATGGTTAGCTAGATAGCGCACCTTCATCCATAAGCTAGGCCTGGTGGGCATGCTTGTGATTCAAGCTATGCTAGAGACCATAGGTAGGAGGATTATGCTCCAGGAGCAACCTGGAAATAAAAATACAAGACGCTACTTGAAAAATAACTAAAAGCATAAAGAGCTGGGTGTGTAGCTTAAGTGATAAAATACCTGCCTAGAAAGTTAGAGTCCCTCTGTTCAAGAACAGGTAGACTGAAGGTGGCTCAGTGGTAGAGTGCTTGCCTTGCATGCATGAGGCCCTGGGTTCAATTCCTCAGCACCACATAAGCAGAAAAAAAGCCTAAGTGGCACTGTGGCTCAAGTGGTAGAGAGCTAGTCTTGAGCTGAAGAGCTGAGGGACAGTGCCCAGGCCCAGAGTTCAGGCCCCACAACAACAACAACAACAAAAAGAACAAGTAGACTTTCCCTGTTTGATAATTTCCTTCCACATTGTTCCTACTGAGTTACTGGGGTTTGAACTCAGGGCCTCATGCTTGCTAGGTAGTGTTCTACCACTTATGCCATGCCTCACACTGTTTTGTGCTGTTTATTTTGGAAATAGCCTTAACTTTCTCCCTAACCTGGACCCAAACCTCAATCCTTCTGATACCAGTCTATCGAGCAAGGTTAGTGGGAGCCACAGGTGCCTCCCTGAACTCAGCTTTTAAACATTATTTTCATTGTTTCTGCACATACCTTGCACATATCAGCATGGTCTTGGGCTTCTTAGTGCACATGACTATTCAGGTCTAACATTCTAGGGCATCTTTTTGTCCTGGCTTCCTCCATATAGTTTTCTACTAAGGTGCCTGAAGATACTTAATTTCTTGAAAATGAGGATTCTGATTAGGCTGGCATACCTTTGTAGGGTACTCCTGTGGTTTTTACCATGTCTTCAGTACATGTAATGCTGTTGTGTTTTGTTTCTTGTCTTTTTACAGCCAGAGCTTCAACTACTTGCAAAATTTCCATCACAGCATTCCCAATTTCAAGTGTGGTCTTTATCTCCTCAGACTTTTGATGGTCCTTTTGGAGAAATCTACAGCTCCTGCTCAGAAGAAATTAAAAATTGGTGATGGGCCGCGATCTTCCTTTCTTTTTTCCTCATTCTTGTTTCTTTTTCTTTTTTTAGTCAGGAATAGGATTAATATTGCATGATTATAAACCTGGGGCTTTCTGTAATGTTGTGCTCTTTTTTTTTTCCTAGAAGGAGCTATGACATTGCTTAGGGTGACTTTAGTTAGGTCAACTGACTTGTTTTATTTTTACTTATTTTAATTGACTTATTAGTTATACAGGAGGGATTTTATTGTTAACATCTCCACCTTTACACTGTATTCCAGTTAACTTCACCCCTCCCATCACACTCCCTGCCTGTCTTCCCCTAAAATACATTATTCCCCAGCAGATTTCCTTGTTAGGTTTTCATAAGTCGCCACCATCATCCTTTCTATGTGTCTGTTTACTTGTCCAGGTTGTTTCTAAAGGGAATAGGACATGTTGCATCTTAGACTGATGGGTTTATTTCTGGAAGAAGGAGCACTGCAGCAGGAATGCGTCCACTTTTTTTTTGGTCGGTCGGGGGGCTTGAACTCTGGGCCTGGGCCCTCTCCCTGTGCTCTTCAGCTCAAGGCTACCGCTCTGTCACTTGAGACACAGTGCCACCTCCTGTTTTCTAGTGGTTTATTAGAGATAAGAGTCTCACAGACTGTCCTGCCCTGGCTGGCTTTGAACCATGATCATCAGATCTCAGCCTCCTGAGTAGCTAGGATTATAGGCATGAGCCACTGGCACCTAGCTTGTGTCCACTTTTTTTTTTAAATATATTTTTATTGTGAAAATACTGTACAGAGGGGTTACAATTACATGGGTAAGATAATGAGCACATTTCTTATCAAGCATTGTAGCTTCCTGCTTTGTTTCCCCTTCCCATCCCTTCGTATCCTCCCTGCCTTCCCTTCCTCCCCCACCAAAGTTGTAAAGTTCATTTTTCGACATAACGACTTGTAAATCTCATTGTTGCAATGGGTCCTCCTGTATCCCTGTTTTAACAATTTATTTTTTCCCTTCCCCTCCACATATACCAACATCATATATAGTGAAAGCAGGGGTTGTACCATGGGGGAGGGACATACAAGGCAACAAAGTTGTGTCCACTTTTTAAAAACTGCTTATTAAGCCGGGCGCTGGTGGCTCATGCCTGTCATCCTAGCTACACAGGAGTCTGAGATCTGAGGATTGCAGTTCAAAGCCAGCCCAGACAGTAAAGTCCGTAAGATTCTTATCTCCAGTAAACCACTAGAAAACCAGAAGTGGCGCTGTGGCCCAAGCAGTAGAGCGCTCACCTTGAGCTGAAGAGCACAGGACAGTGCCCAAGCCCAGATTCAAGCCCCACGACCGACAAAAAAACAAACAAACAAAACAAAACAGAAAAAAAACCTGCTTGTTAGACTAAGAACTTCTTAGTAAATTTAAAGTAACAATCCTTTTGCCTAAAAAAAAATCTTCCCTGAAAGGCAGTAGTTCAGTTATCTGGTCATTTCACATTATTTACAGTACCCCTATTGATATGTGAGTGAGATGCCTTTGTCTTGTTTTTCAACAGCTTCCATGGCCAAACAGTTCCTGTGTCGGGTTTGGCCAAATGGGGAGGAAGAGAAGAGCTCTGGCTTTAATGACCAGCTCCATGATGTGCTTTGGTGAGATGCTTGCTTTATTCCAGTGAGCATCACATGGTCTTGTTTTCATTTTGCTCCTGCAGCAGTCCCTCATGTGGTCCGCGAGTGACAAATGACCTTTGTTAGGTCAAACTTGAAAGTAGTGCAGTAGGTTTCAGTTTAAAATAAATTCACATAGGAATGTGCAGATCTGCAGATCCTCCAGTTGTGCCTTCTGCCCCCAGCTACTTTCTTACTGTTCAGCAGTCAAATAAGTGGTAACTAAGACATGTTCACAACTTCCAAGGTGTCTAATTGTATTTCTAGTTGAGACTTGCTTTGTTTACTTAACCCCTGATAAGTATTTAAAACCTTCATTATTAAAAGTAAATACCAGGGGCTGGGAGTTTAGCCCAGCGGAAGGGCGCCCGCCCAGCGCGTGCAAGGCCCTGGGTTTGGTCCTCAGCCCTGGGGGGAAAAAAAAAACTACATAAAAGTAAATACCAGAAGTGCTCAAAGCTTGGTAACTGGCAACGTCTCAAAAAAGAAAAATTGGATTAGGAATTCTGTAACATGTGTTCATTCTCCTTTAAATGATTCCCTGTATAGCATTTATCTAGAGCACACAGACAGTGTCCTGAAGGCCATAGAAGAGATTGCTGGTATTGGAGTTCCAGAACTGATCAACTTGCCGAAAGGTGCATCTTCTTCCACGTTCCCTTCACTGACCCGGTAAGTGAATGCTCACCTGCTCCTTCCTAGCATATAATCACATGTATGTAGTGGCCTGATAGCCATCCTTCTCTTCATCTAGTTCTGATACAGATGCTCACTGAGAATCCAAGGGAAGGCACTGACCTTCTACCTGCACATCCATCCTTCACACCTGGGGCTGGATTATGTGGCTCAGTGTGGTAGCACACAAGGGTGAGGCCTGAGTTCAATCCTCAGTACCACAAATAAAGAAAACAAAGGACAAAGCCATTATATAGCTAATCATGCATATTTTGATCTGTTATGGCTGTTAATAGTCATAGTTTTCTTAATCTCAAAGAGTCTTCCCAGTTTTGTGGGGATTTTTTTTTTTTTTTTTTTTTGCCAGTCATGGGGCCTGAACTCTGGGTCTGGGCACTGTCCCTCAGCTCTTCAGCTCAAGGCTAGTGCTCTACCACTGGAGCCACAGCGCCTCTTCCGGCTTTTTCTGGTGCTGAGGAATCGAACCCAGGGCCTCATGCTTGCAAGGCATGCACTCTACCGCTGAGCTACCTTCCCAGCCCCGTGGGGATTATTTTTTAAGATAGATTCTAGCCGCATAACCCAAGGTGGCCTGGAATCGTGATCCTTAGCACCCAAATGCTGAAATTGCAGTTATGTGCCACCACACCCAGTTTAGTCTTTCCAGTTTAAACAGCACCTTCACAAATCTTTTCTAACAAATATTTTCTCATTTGATCTTTTAGTAATTTTGTGAGATCAGTATGATTACCCTGAATTTATTGTTAAGGAAAATAAAGGACACAAAGAGAATTTTCAAGTGTATGTAGGCAATAATGAATGTGGAACCAGGATGCAAACTTATGTCTTCTACTCTTTCTAGTTGATCAGACCGTCACCTCCTTTCATAAAGTTAACTCATTTTTTCAGACATCATCTTCTCGGGCTCCTTTCTGAATCCTTTCTGTTCCCTTTGCCAGCACACCACAGTGAAGGACATTCAGAGAGGGGAAAGCACTTATTTCAGTCCCTTGGATTCTTCCTAGGAAGTTCTTTCTAGGTAGTGCATCGTCATGTGGGTATGCATGCTTATCTGTCCACTTTATTTTTTTTTGCAAGTCCTGGGGCTTGAACTCAGGGCCTGAACACTTTCCCTGAGCTTTTTTTTTAAAGCTCAAGACTAGCACTCTATCATTTTAGTCATAGCCCCACTTCCTGCTTTTGTTTTTGTTTTTTTTCCTGTTGTAGGGCTTGAACTCTGGGCCTGGGCACTGACCCTCAGCTCTTCAGCTCAAGGCCAGTTCTCTACCACTGGAGCCCACATTTACCTCTTCCAGTTTTCTGGTGATTTGTTTATTGGACATAAGAGGATCACAGACTTTCCTGCCTGGGCTGGCTTTGAACCGCAGTCCTCAGATCTCAGCCTCCTGGGTAGCTAGGATTTCAGGCATGAACCACTGGTGCCTAGCCCACTTCTTGCTTTTTAGTAGTTAATTGGAGATAAGAGGCTCATAGACTTTGCTGCCCAGGCTGACTTCAAACCATGATCCTCAGGTCTCAACCTTCTGCGTAGCTAGAAATACAAGCGTGAGTCACCAGCATCTGTCTTTGTCCCCCTCTTTAGAGATACCTTTGTCATCTTCTTCCGAGTGATGATGGCTAAGCTGGAAAAGACAGTGAAAGGTCTTCAGGCTGGCACAGCAGCAGATGCCCAGCAGGTGGGTCAGATGTTTTCCCAACAAGAAATACATTGTGGATTACTTTGAAGTTGTTGATGCTTTCAGTTCTTGGGATAAAGGTTTGTCTTGAATGATTTCCTTTGAGTTACAAAAGTCTAGGAGTTTTTTCAAAGAGCACTTGGTTTGATTTCCTTTTTATCTACTGGAAGGTGAAAGCTGGATTGTGTTTTTCCTTCCTCCTGCCCAGTTCTGCATTTGCCACCTGGCATGAAGTAAGCCAGCCCATTTGAGTGCTACATGCCTTTGCAGCCTGCTAACCAGATCTGAAGTAGCCTGCTGAGTACAGGACTTAACACAGAATCAAGATTTCAGAGAGGCTGGGTACTGGCTCATACTTGTAATTCTAGCACTCAGGGATAGTGTCCAGGACCAGAATGCAAGCCCTAGGGCTGGCATACACACATACCACACGCACACACACACACCACACACACACACACACAATGTGACAGAGATCTCGTGGCAAGTAGGTATGCTGCACAGAGGCTCTTAACTACTTGTATGTATTACTGAAAAGACTCCTAGACAGATGCCGGTGACTCACACCTGTAGTCCTAGCTACAAGAGGTTGAGATCTGAGAATTGCAGTTCAAAGTCTAGTTAGACACAAAGGTCTGTAAGACTCCACTCCCAGCAAAAAGATGGGTTGGACTCAAAACTGGATGTTGTGACTCAAGTGGTAGAATGTTAACTGAGCAAGCTGTAGGTCCTGAATTCAAATACCCATACAGCTAACAAAATGAACAAATAAGCCTCCTTGTTGTATGTTAATTTTTTCACACTGTATACAGAACCATTTTGTGAGTGTACTAGATGCTACATCTCTTTGGAAGGATTATAGGAAACTGTGTTAGTGAGAATAAAGAAGAAGTATTTGCTTCTTTCTTTGGCTGTCCCCAGATTCATGAAGAGAAGCTCCTCTACTGGAACATGGCTGTTCGAGACTTCACTATCCTCATCAACCTGATAAAGGTGAGTATATGGGGATTGTCTGCTCTGTCTCATAAGCTAACTGCAGAAACTAAGGTCCTAGCTCCAAAATGTGCTTTTCTTCTCACAAGCCTTTGGGACCATGTGGTCTTTTTCCCTTGTAGCCCTGCCCATTCTGGGTATCATTTTTCTCCATAGCCACTATCTCATTCCTTCTCTCTTTTTAATATTTTTGTTGGTCATGGGGCTTGAACTCTCAGCATTCACACTGTCTCTGAGCTCTTCAGCTCAAAACTAGCACTCTACCACTTTAAGCCACATTGTACTTTCAGTTTTCTAGTGGCTAATTGGAGATACGAGTCTCACAGACTTTCCTGCCTGGGCTGGCTTTGAACTGTGATCCTCAGATCTCAGCCTCCTGAATAGTTAGCATTACAGGCATGAGCCACCAGCACCCAGTTGTTCCTTCTCTTCTTTGTCCCTTTGCCATCACACTTACCATGAGTTATCCCCCTTTCTCTTTGCTCTGAGTCCTCCGATCTAAGTCCATTGTCATTTCCAGTCCTGAGTGCACTCATATCCTTTCTGCTAAGCTTTCTTACACTCTAGGCTTCTGAGCAGACTCGCCCTTTCATTTAGAATGTTATTCTTGCTTCTTTCATTCTTTCTGAAAATTGACCTGAAGATTCTTGGAGGCACACTATTGATGTGTCTTCTTCGTTTTAGAATTTTCTGCAATACCCAAGTTATAGTTTGCATGGTAGGAAGAGGCTGAGGTGCTTGATGGCCAGACTCAAATTTGGTTTCTTGTCTTTTGCTTCTCTAGGTATTTGATAGTCGTCCTGTTCTACATGTATGTTTAAAGGTAAGAAATTCCTTGGGTCATGTTCAGTATTTTTCTTTCTGTGACTCATTATGGAGAATGCCTCAGCTGAGATGAATTGCTTAAGACCTTGCCCACATACCACTATGATCCATGCTAAGAGGTGGTATTTAGAGAAAACAGCACCTACTACAGTTAATGACTACAAAAGGCAGGGTTTGTTGTTGTTGTTGTTGTTAGTTTTTTCTCCTCTTGGTTGTGGAGCTTGAACTCTGGGCCTGGGCGCTGTCCCTGAGCTCTTCAGCTCAAGGCAAGCACTCTACTACTTGAGCCACAGAACCACTTCTGGTTTTCTGGTGGTTAATTGGAGATAAGAGTCTCAGGGACCTTCCTGCCTAGGATGGCTTTGAATCTTGATCCTCAGTTCTCAGCTAGGATTACAGGCGTGAGTTACTGATGCCCAGCCAGCTACATCTTTTTTGTGTATGAATGTCTGTAGCCAGAGATAAACCAGTGTGTCTCTTTTTTCCAGTATGGACGTCTCTTTGTAGAAGCATTTCTGAAGCAATGTATGCCTCTTCTAGACTTCAGTTTTAGAAAACACCGGGTAAGAGCTGCACACAGGGAGCAAAAGCATGCTCTGAAGCACAGACAATAAGTCTATGGTGACTCCAGGGTTGGACTGAGGGTAGGAACAACCTATTGCTCATATTCTGGGCCACAGTTATCTAATGCAAGTTTACCTCGAGCCAGAGCTGCCCACATGGGAGTGAGCATTCCAAAGTAGACTGACTGGCCTCCTCAGACCACTCTCTTCAGTCTCACCTTTCCTCCACCCCTGATCTGAAGGTAGGCGCTCTGATAGATAATAGACAGATGACAGACAGACCGGTAGATAGGTAGAAAGACTGACTGAAAGGGAGAGAGAGGAGAGAGAAATCATCAGTTCCTTGTGCTGCTGTACTCTCAAGACCTCATGTGCTTCCTAGGTCATCTATGAGAAATTTAAAAATAAGAGTTCAGAGGGAAGGGTGCAGGAAGTGTGATAGACGGGTGAAATTGATTGGAATATGGTGAAATGCATGGTGATTTAACAATAAAACAGAAGGATCTGTATAACATATAAACTAATAAAAGAAAGTTTGTCTTAGCTGGGTGCTGGTGGCTCACGCCTGTAATCCTAGCTACTCAGGAGGCTGAGATCTGAGGATCGCAGTTCAAAGCCAGCACGGGCAGGAAAGTCCGTGAAACTCTTATCTCCAATAAACCACCAGAAAACTGGAATCGGCGCTGTAGCTCAAGTGGTAGAGCGCTAGCCTTGAGCTGAATTGCTGATGGACAGCACTCAGGCCCAGAGTTCAAGCCCCACGACCAACCAAAAAAAAAAAAAATGTTATAAAACTCTTGTTACAATGAATAGCCTTCATATTTTTTACACCAAGTGACATCCAGAGTTACATTAATAAAGTAAGAATAGAAACATGAATTCTACTGACATTTAGCAAATTGGGATTTGTAGTATACCCACAATCTTATTTTGTTTCACTTAATCCTGAAAGAAAAAAAAAAGGTGATGTTTATCCTGATTTGCAGATAAGAAAACAGAGGCATGATAACTCTTTAAAACTGCAAACCTAAGGCTGAGGTAGAAGGGGATTATGAGTTTGAGGCCATCCTGAGTATTGATCCTGCCCCAAAGAAAAATGTTATGACCTTCAGGTTGACATAAGGTACAGAACAGGGGGCTTAAGAGGTAGGAGCTGGCCACCACTCTCCTATTAGGCAAAGTTAAGATGGCTGGTGACATAGGCTGAAGCCTGCACTTACCCTTTTAGGAGCCCTTGGTTGCAAGGATGTCTTAGCATCTAGAATCAAAATAGAACATTTCTGTAGAACATTTATGGATTGTGTTTGTAGGATGATGTTCTGAGCTTACTAGAAACCTTCCAGTTGGACACAAGGCTACTTCATCACCTTTGTGGACATTCTAAGGTAAGAAGGGAGCAGCTCACACCATTGCTAGCATAATCTGCAGTTGTGCTTGGGAGGCCCACAGGCTCTAACTACTTCCTTTTTAACCTTTCTTGGTGTGTGCACATGTGCCAGTCCTAAGGCTTGAACTCAGGGTGCGGGTGCTGTCTTTGAGCTTCTGTGCTCAAGGCTAGTAGTGGTCTACCATCTGAACCACAGCTTCATTTCTGGCATTTTTGATGGGTGATAAAGGTTTCATGGACTCTCCTGTATCAGCTGTCTTCAAACCCTTATCTTCAGATTTCAGCCTCCTGAGTAGGTAAGATTACAGGCATGAGCCACCCACACGAGTTCTAAAGCACTTCTTGACTGAAGACTCTAGGATGCTGCTGGGTGTGTCTGCTGTAAAGTACTCCGGGTGGATGAACCTTCCATTAAGTACTGGCTGCTGGAGGCAAGAGGTGTTCTAATGCAGCTGCCTTAGCGCTTTTCAGCTGCACCCTCATAGTTCTCAAGAACTAGATCTGTAACAAAAGGGCTTGGTGCTTGAAATACTCTTACAGTTCTGTGAACCACTGTCACCTCTGTGTGAAGGCACACAGAACCCTAAGAGTTCTGTCCTTACTGTCAAACCTTAGAATTTCCTGAGTCTGGGGCTGGGAAGGTGACTCAGTGGTAGAGCGCTTGCCTTGCATGCCTGAGGCCCTGGGTTCGAGTCCTCAGCACCACATAAGAAAAAAGCTGGAAGTGACGCTGTGGCTCCATTGGTAGAGCCCTAGCCTTGAGCTGAAGACCTGAGGGACAGTGCCCAGGCCCAGAGTTCAAGCCTCACGGCGGGCAAAAAAAAAAAAAAAAAGAATTTCCTGAGCCTGTTCACATTACTCTACCTCCCAGTCTCAGCTTTCCCCCTGCTTCTAAGTTTAGAAATTGAGACGTAGAATTTTAAGGACTTTCCAAGCTAAACACAACTACTTTCTGTTGTTTAATATTATTCTAATGTCTCAAGAATATTCATTCTTGATAGGTAAATTCATTGATAATAAGTCAATAAGAAGTTATAAAGAGGAACTTAGAAAGTGTTAGTGTTATGTTTTTGAGACTGAAGGGTTAGGGATTTTGGGGTGAGGGCTGAACTCAGCCTTGTTCTTGCTAGGTTAGTCGACTCCCACTTAGGCCATGCCTTCATCCCTTCTTTTTTGCTTTTGCTTGTTTGTTTCTGCTTTTTGTTATTTTGAAGGTGGAGTCTAGTGAATGTTTCTACCCAACCTAGCTTCAAACCACAATCCTTTCAAGTAGCTAGATTACAGGTGAGAGCCACTGGTACCCAGCTAGGCTGAATTTTTTTTGGGGGGGAGAGGGGTCTGGTCGTGGGGCCTGAACTCTGGGCCTGGGCGCTGTCCCTCAGCTCTTCAGCTCAAGGCTAGCACTTGAGACACAGAGCCACTCCGGCTTTTTTCTTTTTTCTTATGTGGTGCTGAGGAATCGAACCCAGGGCCTCATGCATGCAAGGCAAGCGCTCTACCACTGAGCCACCTTCCCAGCCCCTAGGCTGAATTTTTTTTGGAGTACTATTCCAAACTACTATTGTTTGGTGGAACCGGTCTCTGGGCCAAGAGGAAAGTATATACTCTTAAGGTGTGAGGAATTCAGATGTTTCTTTTAGAAAATGTGAATGTGTTCTCATAAACCTAAACGAGGGTATTTATGTCCATTCAGATTCACCAGGACACAAGACTCACCAAACATGTGCCTTTGCTCAAAAAAACACTGGAGCTGTTAGTTTGCAGAGTCAAAGCCATGCTTGTTCTTAATAATTGTAGAGAGGCTTTCTGGCTGGGAAATCTCAAAAATCGGGACTTGCAGGTAAGCCTTTGACTCCCAGCTCTCTCTCCGCTTCTTTAAGCCCTGTTCTCACAGTGAGACTCCTTTTAACAGGCCCTGCAGGGAGGGTGTGCCAGGGCAGATGGATAGGGTGACTGAGCCTGAAGGTTGTGAAGTAGTTTATTTGCATATATGAAAACAGAATAGTGAAACCTGTTCAGGTAATTTTAGGAGAAGAAGGGAGGAAGGGATAGTAGTAGAAGGAATGAGTTTAATCAGGATATATTGAATGAATGTAAAGAAATGTCACTGCTGGGGCTGGGAAGGTGGCTCAGTGGTAGAGCACTTGCCTTGCATGCATGAGGCCCTGGGTTCGATTCCTCAGCACCACATATGCAGAAAAAGCCACAAGTGGCGCTGTGGCTCAAGTGGTAGAGCGCTAGCCTTCAGCTGAAGAGCTGAGGGACAGCACCCAGGCCCAGAGTTCAGGCCCTACAACAGGCAAAAAAAAAAAAAGAAATGTCACAGCCAGGTGCCTGTGGCTCAGTCCTGTAATCTTAGCTACTGAGGAAGCTGAGGTCTGAGGATCTCAGTTCAAAGCCAGCCTGGGCAGGAAAGTCCATGAGACTCTTTATCTCCAATCAACCACTAGAAAACCAGAAGTGGAGCTGTGGCTCAAAGAGGTAGAGCACTAATTTTAAACGGAAAAAAAGCACAAGGATAGTGCTCAGGCCGAGTTGAAGCTCACGACCACCAACAACAAAAGAAATGTCGCAATGAAACCCCGTAAGTGTGTGGTGGTCTGGTTCAGGAATTAGAGGCACTTTGTACATGGGCTGTGCTCACAGGCCACACCTTCCACCCGGTAAGGAAGGTGAGTAGGTGCACAGACATAAGCTAAGTGCTCAGGTCCTGGGGAGCCAGATCACAACCACCTTTTGTTACTGCCAGAGGGTCACTGTCAAGCCCTACTTCAGAGCAGATTCATAATGACATTTCTTTATATGGACAAAGGTTTGTTTGGTTATTTAGCATGCTTCCCCTAAACCAATATCCCGAAATTACTTTTTTTTTTTTTGCCAGTCTTGGGGCTTGAACTCAGGCCTGGGCACTGTCCTGAGCTTCTTTTTCTCAAGGCTAGCACTCTACCACTTGAACCACAGCACCACTTCTGGCTTTTTCTGTTTATGTGGTACTGTGGAATGGAACCCAGGGTTTCATCCATGCTAGGTAAGCACTACCTCTAAGCTACATTCCCAAACCCCCAAATTACTATTTTAACTACTGAACATTTCTAGTTTCTCAGCTGTGTGACATCTTGTATCACTTATATTAACTAGTTTGTAGTTCTGGCGCTTTTACTTCCGGCCCACACCCTTCTCATTCATGTGTATAATATCTGAGGGAGTTTGTTTTATAAACTCAGCCTTGATCTTTCTGGGCTTTATTCCTTGGCACTCTACCACCTGAGCCACAAGGCTCCAGGCTCCCCCTCATCTCACAGATTCCCGTTCTGGGGCTTGAACTCAGAGCCTCATGCTCTTAAGGTTTCTTGCTCATGACTTGTGCTCTGTCAGTTGAGCCATGCTGCTAGTCCAACTTTTTGCTGGTTAATTGGAGGTTAAGAGTTTCAGTCTTTCCTGACTGGACTGTATTCAAACTGTGGTCCTACAGACACAGCCTCCTGAGTAGCTAGTAGGATTACAGGTGTGAGCCACCATGCCCAGCAGTAACTGAATTTTATAATTTTAGTGTGTGTGCTTGTGTGTGCCAATACAAGGGCTTGTACTTGTCCTGCATCCTTCACTTGGCTTTTCTTACTCAAGGCTTGTGCTCTGCAACTTGAGCCACACCACTACTTCTAGATTTTTGCTCATTAATTGGAGATAAGAGTCTCTTGTATTTGCTTTGAACCAAGAACCTCAGGTCTTAAGCTAGGCCTTAGATCTGAGTGGCTAGGATTGCAGGCATGAGCCATCAGCAGAGTTTTATCAGTTTATATGTGGAAAGAGTAGTCCGCAAAGAGTATTTCCTTTCTTTACATCAGCCTTATAATGTAGAATCTTATTGTTTGCTTGAAAAAAATTGAAACTTAGAAGTTAACTTACATAGGCCATTTAGTAATGAGTGGGGCCAGTGTTTTGAGTCTAAACAGTCTAAACAGAATTGATGTTCTTAAGCAATTTCATTAATACTGTTCTTTAGCTTCTGCATGGCCATTTGTTATTGGCTGTATTGGCACCTGTGTGTCTTACAGTATTAGGAAAATTTTAGGTCCAGATAAAGTATTAACTGAAATTTATCAGAACAATGTGGCCTTGTAAAATCTAGTGCAATATTAGAATACACAGACTCAAATGGATCTTTTGCAGAACTGCATATTATATGAGCATCACAGGCTGGGGTTGAACATGAACTTGCCTTGACAAGACAAACCATTCCCACATTTTGAATGCCTAGAATATCTTCCTTGTATTTCCTGTAAACCCAATACCCAGCTTCCCTCCTCGTCCACTTTCCTCTACCAAGTCTGCATATGTGATCTTTACAACCCACCATTTGTCTTGATCCTTTCACATTTAGGGTGAAGAGATTTTGTCCCAGAATTCCCAGAGGATCTTAACAGCAGAATGTGAAGATGGCATCTCCCAGAGCATGGAGGTTTGTCTGAAAAGGCATCAGGCTTTGATTGTGCCAGCTACTTTGAACTGGTGGAGGGTGCCAGGTGTAACTCAAGTACTTCCATGTCCATCTCCACCTGTCCATATCAACTACGAGTGTTTAGGGCCTATCATACAATCTATTGTGAAATCCGTATATAAATATACATTATACAGTCTTGTGATCACTTGGAATAACTCAAGCTGTAGCATATATTACAGAGTTGAAAATTTGCTTCCAAACAGGTGGAAGCCTAGATGCTGGTAGCTCACGCCTGTAATCCTAGCTACTCAAGAGGCTGAGATCTGAGGATCACAGCTCAAAGCCAGCCTGGGCAAGAAAGTCAGAGCTGTGGCTCAAAATGGTATAGTGCTAGTCTTGAGCATAAGAGCTCAGGGACAAAACCCAGGCCCAGAGTTCAAGCTCCACAACCACATTAAAAAAAAAAACAAAATAAAGGGCTGGGAAGGTGGCTCAGTGGTACAGTGCTTGCCTCACATGCATGAGGCCCTGGGTTTGATTCCTCAGCACCACATAAGCAGAAAAAGCCGGAAGTGGTGCTGTGGTTCAAGTGGTAGAGTGCTAGCCTTGAGCAAAAAGCAGCTCAGGGACAGTGCCCAGACCCTGCGTTCAAGCCCCAGGACTGCAAAAAACAAAAAACAGGTGGAATGTAGCTCAGGACTACAAAAGAGAGGGAGAAGGAAAGAGGGAGGGAGGGAGCAAGGGAGAAATAAAGAGAAAACAAGTAAATAGAAGTGTGTATTTATATATTTTTTCATAATTCAGATGAGGTCTGGATACTGAGTTCAGATAGAAGAACCTCTGCTAAAAGAGCCAGAGAGTACCTCACAAGGCTCTAAGCTCAAAACCCTTTCCTGCCAAAAAAAGGAAAAAAAATACCACGTCTGTGCTAGGGATTTATTTTGATGATAAAAACACTTTCATAGTGTAAATGTCCCTGGGTTCAACCCTGGCATTATAAGAAAACCAAGGCTGTAGCTCAGTGGTAAAGCATTTGTCTGGCCATGTGTCCCTAGGTGTGGACCTCAGCCACACAGATACCTACATACACAAAACCTGAGAAGTAAAATTAAGGCAAATTTGGTTCATTTTGCAGTATAGCACATAATCAGTGCTACAGTCCTTCTGTGGTCTTACCATTCAAGAAAAAACGAGGTAGCGGAGCCTGGTGGTATACTCCTATAATCCCAGCACTCAAGAGGTTGTAGCAGGAGAATATAAGTTCAAGGCCAACATGAGTAACTTAATCAAGACACTTTTGCAGGCTAGGGTTGTGGGTCAGGTGGAGGAATATGTGCCTGGCAAGTCTGAGGCCTAGTTCAAATTCAGTGCCTTTTCAAAAACCTGAAATTAAATTCATTTAACAAATAATAAATGATTTTTTTGTTTTCTTTTGTTTGCCAGTCATAGGACTTGAACTCAGAGCCTTGGTGCTGTCCCTGAGCTGCTTTGTTTACTCAAGGCTAGTGCTCTACCACTTGAGCCACAGCTCTACTTCTGCTTTTTTGGTAATTTATTGGAGATGAGTCTCATAGACCGGGCTGGCTTTAAACTGCAATGCTCAGATGTCAGCCTCCTGAGTAGCTAGGATTGCAGGCATGAGCCACTGCCCAGCTATCATTGGTTTTAACGATGAAAACAGAGTAGTTTCATATCTATGAGAGGTGTGTTGGAGCTTCGTGAGGTCACCCAGAGAAGCAGCCTAAAATTCTCGATTGTCCTTTTCCTTTAGGATGATGAACCTGAAGCAAGTGACGAGGAGGAGCAGGGTGATGCGAGTGGAGACTCCTCTGACTAGGCTCTGGAAGACTCGGCTCCTTGAAACCTGCTTTGTGCCTTTGGAATTGCAAGCGTCTTGTTTTACCCTTCAAGAGGATGTTTTACTTCACCAACTTGTGGGTTTCGTCGTGTGTCTAACTCCAGCCAAGTTCCTGCCCAGGACTGCAGTGCACAGTCGCTGTTGGTTTGGATAAACAGTGGAAGTACTGTTTGCAGTTAGGGTTCTGGGCTTTGGGGGTTAGTATTGAAATTGATTTATTGTAGAATTTAGGTTTATACCTGCTTTACAAATAAATATTTTTCTAACTTTTGCCTTAGCTACCTCATTTCTATTTCTAGGCTTTTCTCCATATTCAAGGATTGGGTAGAACTGACTTTAAAAGTTGTTCAAAAAAATAAATGGACTGGCACTAACATAGCTCTCCCAGTAAGTGTCAGGTTCCACTATCTGGGCCATTTGCATTTCTGGTGAGAAGATCTTTGTAACTTCTCTAAGTGAATTAGATTTGTTAATGCCCAGATTATTATCATTATTATTATTTTCAGAAGGTGAAAAAATTCATCATCAAACTTCTGCTGACTGTATACATATAAATTTGTTTTCACATTATTTAGAGATACATCTATATTCTAGTTATAAGCTATCTGGGGTTTGAACTCAGGGCCTGGGCACTGTCCCTGAGCTTTATTGCTCGCAGCTAGTGCTCTACCACTTGAGCCACAGCTCCACTTTCCAGTTTTTTTGTAGTTTGAGAGAAGAGTCTCATGGACTTTTCCTTCCTTGTCCTTAAAGGATCTCAGCCTCTTGAGTACGTGCGATTACAGAGTGAGCCACCATCATCTGGCATGAACCACCTGAGCCTGGCTTCATAAAGACTTTTGAACCCTTTATCATCTGGCAGACAGAAATCCATTCATCCCTTTTTTTTTTTTTCCTAGAGCTGAGGACCGAACTCAGGTACTTGCGCTCGCCAAGCAGGCGCTCTTCCGCTGAGCTAAACCCCCAGCCCCTTACACATCCCTTTCCTTGACATCCCCTGTTCCCCAACTCATTGTCCTTGGTGTTTGAAGTGAGGTCACACTAGGCTGGTTTATATGGTTTATATGGTTTGTTTAATTGTTCTTTGTCACATGTACATATCAGTGCTAGCTTGACTCTCTTTTTAAATGGTGGTTTGACTTTCCAGTAGAAATGTCCTCCCTTGCTCTGTATCACTGGCCTTGTTTTTGGAGAGCAGGGGAGAAAAGGGGCTCCTTAGTTGTCACTGCTTGGCAGAAGATCAAAGTCTCTGGGGCGATATCACCATTTCATCTTCCAGGACAGGTTTTTGTAAGCTTCAGGTACACGCCAGAGGGCATGGTGTAAGCAACTGCAGACCGATGGGGCCCTTTACTTGGAGTGTTGCAAAGCAAAGGTGCACTTCTTGTAGGTTGCATACAGCAAGAGGATAGAACGCAGCATCTGTTTGCACATCGTCACTGTCATCTGGATCTGAGGCTCCTTGAGGCCAGTGGGCCACTGATGCTCCCTGCTGATGATTTTGCAGAAGGCTGACTTGTCTGAGACCCTGAAGGTCCCCGTCCACTTGGGTGGCTGAGCCGTGATGACCCTGCCAAAGACAGAATCCACTCCACTGAGGCGGACGGGCTGGGGCTTCCTCACCAGGCCTTTCTTGCTGTTGATGATTCGGAGCTCTGATGTGTGGCAGGGTAACTTGGGACTGACTCCAGCTTCCAGGAACGGGGTGTCTAGCACTAGAGTGACCTCTTGAAAGCACAGCTGCACTTCCAGGTCAGAAGGGGTGTGCGCAAAGCAAGGGGAGGCTTTAAAGGGGTGCTTGGAGGAAGGGGTGGGTGTCGTGTGCCGCAGCCATTGGAAGCTCTCGTCCAGTGGGGTCCATGGTGACCACAGCTGGTATCCTGCCATTGACAGTCCTAGAGGAAAAGAATCACACATGACATTTCCCTGCGGTGCTTTGGGTCAGGGCGTGATATGACCGTTTATCCCCTGTCTCATATATGATGCAGACTTACTTTGTGGTTCCCACGGAACAGATTCCAGGAGGTGCTATGGTAGTTGTGGAGTATGGTAAATACTGTATGCGCACTAAAACCTCATGAGGCCTCACAAGCCTGAGGGAGGTTTTAACTCATTGTACAGAGGAGGAAATTAATGTGAAATGGGCTCTATACCATGCTAGAAATGCTAATAACAGGCCTGATGTCTCGGGTGGCGGGGGTTGCTGGGGGTCTAATGAGACCCAGCTATCTGAGGTCAGAGGAAGCTCTGCAAGTCCATGTTCCTCTCTCTTTGCAGCTCACATCAGTGGTTCTTTAGGTCTATCCTTTGGACTAGCAGCTTGCACATCATTTGGGAATTTAGTTGAAATGCAAATTCTTGGGTTCTACTTCAGACCTATAAAATCAGGAAGGAGGGGTGGGCCCAGACGTCTCTCTACACGGACCTCCTCCCCCCCTCCCAAAGGATTTTGTTGCATCTTACCTTTGAGTTAAGAGGTAAGTAAAACTCTGGCTTTCACTATTCCTTATGAAGACAGTCTCCTGTTGGCCCTAAATGCCTCTGTGTTTACTAATAGAAGACAGTCTCAAAGTCCTGGGCAACTTATTCTGTACTCCGTTCAGAGGAAGGGTAGTTTACAAAGGCCAGTCTTCAAAATACACTGGTTGCTGGGAATGTGGCTCAGTGGTAGAGTGCTTGCCTAGCATGCATGAAGTCCTGGGTTCGATTCCTCAGTGCCATATACATAGCAAAAGCCAGCAGTGATGCTGTGGCTCAAGTGATATAGTGCTAGCCTTGAGCAAAAGCAGCTCAGGGACAGTGCCCAGGCCTTGAGTTCAAGCCCCAGGACTGGCAAAACAAACAAAATGCACTGATTACCCTTCTTCCCACAGATAGGAGGTGTTGTTTTGTTTTTGGTGCTGTCTTGGGGCTTGAACTCAGGGCCTGGGAGCTCTCCCTGAACTGTGTTGCTCAAAGCTAGCCATCTATCTACCACTTGAGCCACAGCTCTACTTCCAGCTTTATTTTTGTTGTTGTTCTGTTGTCGGCTGTGGGGGCTGAACTATAGGCCTGGGCACTATCCCTCAGCTCTTCAGCTCAAGGCTAGCACCCTACCACTTGAGCCACAGCGCCACTTCTGGCTTTTTTTTTCTGCTTATGTGGTGCTGAGGCATGGAACCCAGGGCCTCATGCATGCAAAGCAAGCACTCTACTAGGAAGCCAACTTCCCAGCCCCTCCAGCTTTGTTTTGATGCTTACTTGGAGATGAGAGTCCCACAGACTTTCCCCTATTGGCTTTAAACCAAGATCCTCAGATCTCAGGCTCCCGAGCAGCTAGGATTTACAGACATGAGCCACCAGTACCTAGCCTAAGGGAGTTTTTAACTCATTGTTGTTTTGTTTTAAAATCTATGAGAAACCCAGTGGTTTGTACTTGGTATCTCTCCCTGCCTCCCTCTCCCACAACTGCAGTGGGCCTCTGCTGGCTTAGCAGACATTTTACCAATTCAAACCCTTTATTTTTCAGATAGTGTCTTTCTTTTGCCTTAGCCTGGCATCCTAGACTGTTATCCTTGTCCTTCATACCACCCATGAAACTGGGATGACATATGTACCAACATCCATCCTCAGCTTTTTTTTGTTGAGATAGAGGGGTCTTGAAAATTTTTTTCTCAGACTGGCTTTGAACCATGATCCACCTCAACTCAGAGGATTACCAGTGTAAGCTCTGCTTTTTTTTTTTTTCTTGCTTGAAGAAAAAGGCTGGAACAATATAACTAACTCAAAATCTATCCAAGTAGAGGTTGGATCCCCATCATTCTACTTTAAAACTCTCAGTATGTAAGGGTTTCACTGAATTCAGAAGCTAATGGCTTTGTGCACCTACCCACCCTATTACGTGCAGACACATTTCCAGTCCCTTTTCTTTCCAGCCAAGTACGTTCCTCCGTGCCTCTTCACTTCTCCCACACAAGGCAACAGCAGCAGATATGATCCCATCTCATCCCGTGATTTGTCACCATTAAAAAGCTGGCACCTCCACCACTGCGAGACAGTGAAGTTCATTTTTAAAACAGAACTGTTGGTGACATTTCAAACTCGAAGTGTACCTGACAGTGGTTAGTAGAAAGGAGATTCGTGGATTTTTCCACCTCTGGCATGTTTCTCATGATCTGTGCAGGTGCCTTGGAAGCTTTAGAGTGAGGAACTGAGCTATCTATTCCGGATAGCCTATGAGAGGCTTTTGGTGGTTGCTCTCATGACCTTAGCATACATCCAAGATTAGGCTTTACTATTCCACCAGGGCATGGTGGGGTGGAGGGTAGTGACTCCCATACACTCATGTCCCCCCCAAATGTATTTAATCACAAGATTCTTTTCTTGACCCGCCCCCCCCCCTTCGGCTAGAGGAAGCAGTGAAGAGACTGTTCGGATGTCCTGCCCACATCGACATGCGTGAGATGGCCTCTCCCAACGTTAAAATGCAAACGTGTCAGTCCCCTCTCCCAGTTCCCAGGTTCACACACCCATTCCAGGCGTGGCTGAACCTAGGAAGTCTGTTTAAACTGTGATAGCTCTCAGATGAGGAGGACCTGGTTTTTTTTTTTGTTTTTGTTTTTTTTTGGGGGGGAAGCTTCCCCTTCATAGGCCCCTCCATTTTCCCACCTGGGAAAGGGGAAGGCAGCGCCAAGGTGCAGATCCCGAGGGGCTGGAGTGCGGTGGGAGCCCGGGCCCAGGCCCACCATCGCCATCCCGGCCAGAGGCTCACCTGCTGAACACCGCGCGGGCCACACGCTCCAGAGTGGTGGCCTCATCTTCTCCCCACCGGTGCCTGGCAACCGCCTTTGTGATTCAGGACCGGGCGGGGGAGGGGGCGGGGGAGAGGCGGGGACGGGGGCGGGGCCACGTGAGAGAGGGTGGCGCTGGACCACTCAGGACCACCCAGAAGGGAAGCCAGCCAAGATGTGAGGAGTCCACCTGTTGTCCCTGCCTCTTCAGATCCAACACTCTGATGGAGCCCTGGTTCAAGACTTACCCACTCCGATCTCCCCATCATCTCTTTGACTAGAGCACCAAAGACACCCCAGCTTCCCACCTGGCCACAGGTATACAAGTCCTGGAAACAGCAGTGTTAAGAGTTAGTCTGTGGTGGAGTGGCTTCCTGCAACAGAAAATGATGAAATCAACTATATGACAGTATTTTCTATAAGTCATTTGTGACTAATTCCTCCACAAACCTTAGTGATTCTCACCACGGAATGCTAATATGCCAGTGGTACCCAGTACTTCTTGTATATAGGTTATTGCAAATATTGTTCTGAAATGCTTCAAAATTACATTTTTTAAAGTAAATAATTGTTTGAAATCCATTTTGTAAAGACATAAAGTACAATAGAATTTCTGGAGTACAGATTAAACTATTTGCACACACAAAAAAAGAGCTAGTCTGTATTTTGTGCACCCGTGCTCCCGTTCAAGGAGAGTTACCCAGTTTGGAAGACTTATGATGTTAATGTGATTCCAGATAAACTGACTGAAAACCTTTATCTTCTGTTAAACCTCAAAAGGGTAATTTTATCCTATTTTACAATGCTGAAAAAAAAAAAACGGATGCTTTCACCCGATCAAAAATGTGGTTTAAGCCGGGCGCTGGTGGCTCAGCTGGTCATCCTAGCTACTCAGGAGGTAGAGATCTGAGGACTGAGGTTCAAAGCCAGCTGGGGCAGAAAAGTCCCGTGAGACTCTTACCTCCAGTTAACCAGAAAAGCAGATGTGGAGCTATGTCTCAAAGTGTTAGAGCTCGGGCCTTGAGCTCTGGCCTTGAGTGCCCAGGCCCTGAATTCAAGCTCCATGAGGAAAAAAGCGATTTGACACTTCTGTCAGCCTAGGTGGCTGAGGGAGAGGTGGGCAGCAGTTTACACAGCCGATGCCTGGGTGCCCAGCGCTTGGCCTCAGCAATCCTAGAGTTAATTTGTGGGCAGAGTTAATGCGTGGGAGGAGATGGTGTATGGGCGGAGTTGGAGTGTGGGCGGAGTTGGCGTGTGGGCGGAGTTGGAGTGTGGGCAGAGTTGGGTATGGGAGGAGTTGGTGTGTGGGAGGAGTTGGCACGTGGGCGGAGTTGGTGTGAGGGCGGAGCTGGCGTGTGGGAGGAGTTGGCATGTGGGAGGAGTTGGCATGTGGGCAGAGTCAGAGTGTGGGCAGAGTTGGTATGAGGGCGGAGTTGGCATGTGGGAGGAGTTGGCGTGTGGGTACAGAGTATGGGAGGAGTTGGCGTGTGGGAGGAGTTGGAGTGTGGGCGGAGTTGGCACGTGGGTGGAGTTGGTGTGAGGGCAGAGCTGGTGTGTGGGAGGAGTTGGCATGTGGGAGGAGTTGGCGTGTGGGAGGAGTCGGAGTGTGGGCGGAGTCAGAGTGTGGGCGGAGTTGGCATGAGGGCGGAGTTGGCATGTGGGAGGAGTTGGCATGTGGGAGGAGTTGGCGTGTGGGTACAGAGTATGGGAGGAGTTGGCGTGTGGGTGGAGTTTGCGTGTGGGAGGAGCTTGTGTGGGCAGATTTTAGTGGAGTTAGGGAGTGGGAGGGGCTGGGGAGTGGGAGAGTTGATGTGTAGGCGCTGTCAGAGTGGGGAAGAGCTGTTGTAGGGGGTGGAGGTAATGGCCACCGGTCCTTTTCTCCCAGAACCCTAACAGGCCTTCCAGTTTTGTCAACACCAGTAAGTGCTGTCACCTTTTGTCTGGTTCTTGGGTAAAGCTGATGAAGAAAGTTCTGAGGATAGAGTCGCGCTGGGGTCCTGGTTGGAGAGACCTGTATCACCTTAAGGGACTTGCCCTATGCCGGTTGCGTACATGTGCACCCAGGTGAAGTGTAGGAAGAGTTTGGAGGGGAGTCAGAAAGTGGAGAGGAACATAAAATCTTGACACAACAGAGGGAAACTTAATTCCTTCAGCTAATTTTATTTTCCTCCTGAAGAGGAGAAATAACACACTAGTTATTTAAAAAGCAGATGAAACTTTTTTTTTTGGTACAGGATTCTTTCTTTAAATGAAAGCTTCCAAGATCATATGATTAACATTCTTCTATGACATTCTGCGCACAGTCCTCTGTGCAAGCTGTCCAGTTCTAAGGGAGTGTTCCAGGAAATGCTATTTGCTGTTCTCTCCAAATCTGATATACAGCAGAATCAGAAACAGCTTTGCATCCCTTCGGCAAAATACCTGGGCTGGATTGCTTATGAAGAAGAAAAGATGTACCTCAATAAAAAGTGCAGAGCGGGGCGCTGGTGGCTCACGCCTGTAATCCTAGCTACTCAGGAGGCTGAGATCTGAGGACCGCGGTTCAAAGCCAGCCCGGGCAGGAGAGACTGTGAGACTCTTATCTCCAATAAACCACCAGAAAACCGGAAGTGGCGCTGTAGCTCAAGTGGTAGAGCGCTCGTCTTGAGCTGAAGAGCTGAGGGACAGTGCCCAGGCCCAGAGTTCAAGCCCCATGACCGACAAAAAAAAAAAAGTGCAAACATGGGCTGGGAATGTGGCTCAGTGGTAGAGCGCTTGCCTGGCATGCATGAAGCCCTGGGTTCCATTCCTCAGCACCACATCATCAGAAAAGACTGGAAGTGGCGCTGTGGCTTAAGTGGTAGAGTGCTAGCGCTGAGCAAAAGAAGCTCAGAGACAGTGCCCAGGCCCTGAGTTCAAGCCCCACTACTGGCAAAAACAAAATAGGCACAAACATGACCCATGGTAAATAGCAGGCGTGTGTGTGTGGAGTCAGGTTTACTATAGGAGCTAGTATTCATTCTAATGACACGCAGAGCTGCAATGAAAGAAAAACTCAGGCTGTCTTGTAATCCCAGTTACTTGGAGAATAAAGAGCAGGAGATAGTTGCTTGCTTGAGGTTAGTAAAGCTCCATCTCAACCAGTGGCAGGGCGTGGTGACATATATCTTAGCAATCTCAGCCACGGGGCAAAGCACCACGGCTGGGTACTGTGTGGGGGGATGGGATGCCCACGCGCCCCCTCAGTTCCAGAACACCGGAACCGGCGTGGGAGTGCGGCGCCCGGCACATGCGCACTCCGACCTCACCTCCCGGGCCTGGGCGGAGGCATCTGTTTTCCCAGGCTTGAGGAACTGAGAAGACCGCTGGTGATACCACGCTTGCGCACCACAAAGCCGCACAATGGCGGACCTGCGGGGAAGGGTGTGGGTCGACGGCGCAGGCGCGCTGGCGGCCAGCGGAGGCAGGGCGCACGCGCAGTCGCTCTTCCTCAGGCGGCCGCCATGGCGGGACAGGAGGATCCCGTGCAGCGAGAGATCCACCAGGACTGGGCGAACCGGGAATACATTGAACTCATCACCTGCAGCATCAAGAAGATCGCGGACTTTCTCAACTCGTTTGGTTAGCAGGGAGCCGGAGAGGCGGGGAGGAGGGAGGCGTCGGGCGCTCGGCGGGACCGGGGAGAGAAGCTCGGGGGAGGGGCTTCCCGGAGCCCGGCGTTCGCGCCCCCGCTGGCGGCTGCCCCCCGCCCCGCGGGCCCCTCGTCAGGCCTGGCCCTCGGCCGGGGGCTCCCCTGCCGCCCTCCGGCGGCCGCTCTGCGCCCCGCTTCCCTTCCGGGCCGCACTCGGCCGAGACCGGGCCCTCGTCGGTCAGGCGCCGGCCGTTCGCTCCGGGTCCCGGCGAGCGCGCGCCGCGGGGCGGGCGCGAGGTCCGGGGTGAGGCCCGGGTCTTCCGGCGGGGCGCGGCCGGGTTCCGCGGAGACACGGCTTTTCCGGGGCTTTGCTGGGCCTGCGCGCCGGCGGCGTGACGGTGCTCGCTCCTCCGCGCGCGGCGCTCCGTCTCCGACCGCCGGCGCCGGCCCGACGGCCCCAGGGAAGGCGTCTGGAGACGCGGCGCCTCGTGATCGTTTTGGCGTTGGGTGCTTGGGTTCCGTGAAGGCAGCAACGGGAGGCAACTAAGACTAGCGGAGGCCCGGCCCGGGTCGGCCGACCTGAGCTGCCCCGGAGGAGGCAAGGCCAGGATTGATTGTGGTTCAAAGCCAGCCCCCGGCAGGAACGCCTGTGGAACATTGATTTCCAGTTAACCAGCAAAGCGCTGCAAGTGGAGCCGCGGCTCGAGCGATAGAGCGCCAGCCTCGAGTGAAACAGCAGCGCCGGTGCGTGACGCTGCGTGACGGTGGTAGGCTTCGTGTTGGTGTTGGGCTGCGCTCGCTGTGCTGCCCGGCCTGCCGTCTTGCCTCAGCTCCCAAGAACTAGGACTGTAAACCTCACTGTTAGAATTTGTTTTTTTTTAATCTAACACTGTTTAACCTCAAAAAATGTCAACATTCTAAGTATTCCAAAAATAGGCTGTCGAACACAGAGCTTGTACAGAAGGAGTTTGTACTTCCAGTGGTGCCGTGGCTTTTTAAAGTTTTGCTGACAGTGAGTTCTATAATTTGTTTTAAAAAAATTTAAAAGAGCCGGGCGCTGGTGGCTCACGCCTAGCTACTCAGGAGGCTGAGATCTGAGGATCGCGGTTCAAAGCCAGCCTGGGCAAGAGAGACCGTGAGACTCCTATCTCCAATAAACCAGCAGAAAACCGGAAGTGACGCTGTAGCTCAAGTGGTAGAGCGCTCGCCTTGAGCTGAAGAGCTGAGGGACAGCGCCCAGGCCCAGAGTTCAAGCCCCACGACCGACCAAAAATAAATAAATAAATAAATAAAAAAATTTAAAAGTAGACCACGTTTAACAAAAAGTAATTCAAACACTTGGGCTGGGAAGGTGGCTCAGTGGTAGAGTGCTTGCCTTGCATGCATGAAGCCCTGGGTTCGATTCCTCAGCACCACATAAGCAGAAAAATCCAAAAAGTAATTCAAACACTTGTCATACCAACTGACTCCTGCTTGCTTACAGCTGAGAGTCGCAGCTTAATACTGTCGCTATACAAAAGCAAGACATCCTGAAGCCATAGCCTCAGCACCAAGCAAAGAGCATCAAGAATCTGCCTGGCGCCGCGGCGCCGGTGGTTCACGCCTGTAATCCTAACTACTCAGGAGGCTGAGATCTGGGGTTCAAAGCCAGACCGGGCAGGAAAGTCCGTGAGGCTCTTACCTATTCAGAAAACCGGAAGTGGCGCTGTGGCTCAAGTAGTAGAGGGCTAGCCCTGAGCTGAAGAGCTGAGGGACAGCACCCTGGCTTAGAGTTCAAGCCCCATGACCGACCAAAAAAAAAAGAATCTGTCTGGTTATTTTGTTCCTTTTGCAAAGTATGACTATAATTCTTTGTGTTCTTTTTTTTTTTTTTTTTAGTCGGTCATGGAGCTTGAACTCTGGGCCTGAGCACTGTCCCTCAGCTCTTTAGCTCAAGGCAAGCGCTCTACCACTTGAGCCACAGCACCACTTCCGGTTTTCTGGTGGTTTATTGGAGATAGGAGTCTCACAGTCTTTCCTGCCCTGGCTGGCTTTGAACCAAGATCCTCAGATCTCAGTCTCCTGAGTAGCTAGGATTACAGGTGTGAGCCACCAGCGCCTGGCTTTCTTTGTGTTCTTTTCGAAAACTATATATATTATCTATTGGATAACTCAGAATTCTAAAACAATTTTGATACAGTTTCAGGGCATTCAGACACCATGGCTACATAAACCACTGACTTTTTTTTTTTTTTTTTTTGTCTGTCATGGAGCTTGAACTCTGGGCCTGGGTACTGTCCCTTAGCTCTTCAGCTCAAGGCGAGCACTCTACCACTTGAGCCACAGCACCACTTCTGGTTTTCTTCTGGTTAATTGGAGATAAGAGTCTCATGGACTTTCGTGACAGGGCTGGCTTTGAACTGTGATCTCAGCCTCCTGAGTAACTAGGATTGCAAGGCGTGAGCTGCTGATTTGCACCTAAACCATTGACAATTTCTAGAACACTTTCAATAAGATTGTGATCAAACTTTGTAATTCACTAGGTCAATAGACACCTATCAGCACCAGATGTGATGCTCCCCTACTCTGAGGTATTCCTAAGGAGACAGGTAACAGGTGTTTTAATCCTCCCCCTTTTTCTGGATAAGGACCTCTTAGCAGGACCATCTGCACCGTCAGACTTTCCTTTAGACTCAAAGTCAGATGGCCTCTGACTCTCCTTCAGCGTCATCATCTTAATAATATGCACCACATTTTTTGTTAATGTCTTCAAAAGAGATGCAAGGTTTATGAATTGGATGCTGAGGGGGGATTCTCAATGTAACAGGAAGAATCCAGTGTGATCTTTGGGGGAGGAGGGATAATTAGCATCTTTTCTCTTTCTGTGTCTCTTAGCCGGTCCATGGTCTTTAATATCCTGGTCGTAGTATGCTGTAACTACTTAGGTTCTCTTTCCCAGACACATTGTCTGTCCTCAGAAAATTCTAAAGATTTTAGAGACCCCTGTGTTTTTCTTCTTATCTTCTCTGCATGTCTGCAGAGACGATAGAGCAAACAGGTTGCCTTCTGGTTTCTTTTTTCTTCTTTTGTCTCAGACAGGAACTTGAACTCAGTATCTGACTCTTGGCTTTTGCTCATTTTCTAGGACTCAACTATCTGATCTACTCCTCTGTCCTTGCTTGATGGTCTTTAGCCCATTGCTCTGGGCAGCCCAGGGCATGATAGGTGGCTTAGCACCTCCACAAGCTTATGCTAGTTGCCTCCATGAGAGCTGAATTCAACTGAACCCTGTGGCTCACGCCTGTAATCCTAGCTACTCAGAAGGCTGAGATCTGAGTATTGAAGTTTGATGCCAGTTTGGCAGACAAATTATCAGCAAAGAAAACAGAAGAGGAGCTCTGGCTCAAGTGGTAGAGTGCTATGCTTGAGCCAGAAAGCTAAGAGACAGCACCTAAGCCCTGACTGAATTCAAGCCCAGTATCCACATAAACAAAACAAAATCTTTAATTCACAAACACTTGCAGGTCACACCTAAAAAGGTAGGTCTTGAATTTCTGACAGAACTCTATAGTTTGTTGTTGTTGTTTGTTTTGGTCATGGGGCTTGAACTCTGGGCCTGGGCGCAGTCCCTATGCTCTTCAGCTCAAGGCTAGTGCTCTACCACTTGAGCTACAGAGCCACTTCTGGTTTTCTAGTGGTTTTATTGGAGAAAAAAGTCTCACGGGTATTCTTGCGTGGGCTGGCTTTGAACCACAGTCCCCAGATCTCAGTCTCCTAAGTAGCTAGGATTACAGGCGTGAGCCACTGGTGCCCACCTCCCTGAGCTCTGAAGTCTAGTGCTGTACCACTTGGAGCTACAGCGCCACTTCTGGTTTTCTGGTGGTTAATTGGAGATAAGATAAGGGACTTTTCTGCCCAGGTTGGCTTTGAAATGTGATCCTCAGATCTCAGCCTCCTGAATAGCTAGAGATTTCAGGCTTGAGCCACCAGCACGCAGCCAACATTTATTATTCCTTGTTCACAGTGTATGACACATAGTTAGGATCACAAAAGTCAAGCTGTATTTATGGTTGTTGTTTTTTTTTAATGACCATAGCCCTTTATTACGTACTTAGAATATAGAATAGAAGGCACTGTGCTTGTCTTTTGTGGTGCTAGGGATGGAAGTCAGGGTCTCATGTATGCTAGGCAAGTGTCCTACCACTGGACTACATCCACAGCCCAAACCAGGTATTTCCAGATAGCAACATTTTTACACTTTTCTGCATATGCTAGCTTTAGAATTAAGAGGAGAAGTCTAAAAATAAAGGCCTATTATGTGTGTGTATTTTGTAGAAACTTCATTAAATCCAAAGTACAAGAGTGGGCTTAGTGTTGGATGTGATTATTGTGTTACTGCCTGTAAATCCTCAGATTCAGGTGGTCTTCCACCACTGAAAGACAAAACCACAGATTGTGAATCCACTATTACCAGTTGCAATCTTTATCAACAAAGGAGGTGACTAACTTACCCTATGTCAGGGTAAGGATTGTAGGATCACTGCCCTTTTCAAAGAGCTCTAGAGTCAAAGTAAACTATTGACTCTTTGTATAGACCCACAGATAGCTGTCAGAGAGAGGGCTCATGCTGTGGGCTCAGAATGGGGAACAATTCTAAATGCTTTATCACTTGGGTCTTGAGGATTAATCTGCCCAGGCTGGCTTGGATCTGTGATACTGAGCTGGTGCCCAGCTTCCCAGTGTTTTTTTTTTTTTTTAAGTTTTTAATTGAGATGAAATTTACATAAAATATTTCCAGTGTTTTTGTTTGAAAAAGTATGTTTTGCCCTGTTCCCATTTGCAGTGTTGAGGATAGAACTCATGGTTTCATGATCTACCACCGAACTATGTCCCTGTCCGTGAACCAGTATATATTTAATGGGCTCTGCAATGGGAATGACGTTCTGAAGTTGAGCATTTTATATTCCTGGAAGTGTTTATCCATGTGTGCTGGTACTATAGCATCAGTCTTGGATTCTGACTCATTACCAGATTGACAGTAGAACAGAACAGACGTTCAGGAAGGAAGGACCTCTCTCTCCCATTCCCTTTCCACTGTAATTTTGGTGTATCTTTCCTCATGGGAAATAACAGGTTGTCAAAGAAATTATTCTTGTGCTTATTGAATAGCAGACATAATGTGTACTTTTATGCTTCCAAAAATTATACTGAGAAGAACAGTCTTGATGGAAAGGGCAGGGTGCTGAGTGCTTATGTGCAGGCTAGAACTGGGAGTTAGAGGAAGCAGTACTAGTAGATAAATAAGACTAGACTAAAAACAAGTGGGCTTGGCCTGGCTCTGGTGGCTTACACCTAAATCCTAGCTACTCAGGAGGCCAAGATCTGAGGATCATGGTTCAAAGCCAGCCTGGGCACGAAAGTCTGAGCACCAGAAAACCAGAAGTGGAGTTGTGGCTTGAGCGTCCAGGCCCCAAGTTTAAGTCTCACAACTGACAAAGAAAAAAAGAGGGGGTCTCAGTGGTTTAGTTGTATAATACCAAGTATGCATAGGCCCTGAGTTTGATCCCCAATACCACAAAAGAATGAAAAATGACCAGAACAGAGAGATCAGTAGAGGAATTAAGTTGTTTCTTTCCTTTTTTTTTTTTTTTTGTCGGTTGTGGCGCTTGAACTCTGGGCCTGGGTGCTATCCCTGCGCTCTTTATCTCAAGGTGAGCATGCTACTGCTTGAGCCACAGCACCACTTCTGGTTTTCTAGTGGTTAATTGGAGATGAGTCTCACAGACTTTTCTGCCCAGGCTGGCTTTGAACCACGATCCTCAGATCTCAGCCTCCTGAGTAGCTAGGATTACAGACGTGAGCCACTGGCGCCCGGCAAATTAAGTTGTTTCTAGGGACTGAGGGAAGGCAGAATGGAGGTTGACAGTACTTGGTTTCCTTCAGCAATGTTCAGAATATTCTAAAATTAGATTATAGTAGTTGTTACCTGGGGCTTGAACTCTGGTCCTCTTGCTCACTTGACTTTCACCCACAGCTGGCCCTCTACCACACTTCCATGTCTAGCTTTTTTTTTTTTTTTTTTTTAACTGGTTATTGGATTTGTATGTCTGGGTTGGCTTATGAACTGCAATCCTCAGAAATGATATTGAAATTGAGAGTCAGCCTTTCCTTCCTTCCTTCCTTCCTTCCTTCCTTCCTTCCTTCCTTCCTTCCTTCCTTCCTTCCTTCCTTCCTTCCTTCCTTCCTTCCTTTCGTTTTCTTTTTGGTAGTACTGGGCTTTGAACTCATGGTTTTGACTTATTAGGCATGCTCCCAGTCCTTCTTGCTTTTGTTATCGTCTCATTAGCCTGGCTCTTCTATTTACACCTCCCATTTATCTGAGATGGCAGGTGTAGACCACTGTGCCCAACCTTTTTTATTGGCTAAGATGGTATTTCATGAACTTTTCCTTCCATCTAACCTTAAATAGCAATCCTGATGAGCTAAGTGTGTGAGCCACTGCACCCTGCTGAATTGAGTCTTGAATGTTTAGACAGGCAAGGTAAGTAAGGTGTGCACAGAGTGAATGGAAGTTGAGGCAGATGTGCATGTAGCACGATGTAGCGCTTCTGCAAACCAGCCAGGGGAGAGATGGAAAGTTGTTCGCTTAGTGTTGAGTCATTATGTGTGATGTGGCTGAGCAGCAGTGTTGGAGGAGGTAGCAGGACATAGTTGCTGCCATCGGTGCCCTTTTCGCTTGTAACAATACAGTGGCTGGAAAAAATGGACAAATAGAGAAGTGTGCAGAGGAAAAGACACTTGAGGGGTGAGGTATTGAAAGAAAATTGGAAAAGGAAGAGGAAGATTTGGGCTGTTTCTCCCAGATGGAATCAGGATATTGGATTTCTTTGTTGTTGTTTGGCCCTGCAGTTAGAAAGAATCGTCATTGATTTCATTGTGGTATGAAAGTAATACACATAGCACAATGCCAGGCCAGTGTTCTACCACTGCGCTATAATCCCAACCTAAAAACCTTTGAGAATTTGAGTTTTGGTCATTTCCCAGGCTAGCAGCGTGTGTCTGGCACTTGCTGGGCCAGGGAGCGGCAGCTCCCAGTGGGCAGTGGGCCATCCCAAGGCGCACCTGTATGTGCTTTCTCTTGTCATGTTTCTTCTCTTCAAACTTTTTGTTTGTTTGTTTTTGTTTTTGCCAGTCCTGGGGCTTGAACTCAGGGCCTGGGCAATGTCCCTGAGCCTCTTTTGCTCTAACACCTGAACCACAGCACCACTTGCAGCTTTTTCTGTGTATGTGGTACTGAGGAATGGAACCCAGGGCTTCATGCATGCTAGGCTAGCACTTTACCACTGAGCCACCTTCCCAGCCCTCTCTTCAAACTCTTTAGTACAGCCAACTATTTTTTTGTCAGAACAGCGCTCGAACTTGAACTGCTTGCTTGCTCACAGGTTGGTGCTATACCACTTGAGGCTTCCACACTTCCAGTCTGGCATCTTGCTGATTAATTAGAGATTGAGTTTCTCAGATTATACTGCACATGCTGGTGTGGCTCAAGCGATAGGATGGCAGCCCTGAATAAAAAGGCAAAGCAAGGGCTGGGAAGGTGGCTCAGTGGTAGAGCGCTTGCCTTGCATGCATGAGGCCCTGGGTTCGATTCTTCAGCACCACATAAGAAAAAAGAAAAAAAGCTGGAAGTGGTACTGTGGCTCAAGTGGTAGAGCGCTAGCCTTGAGCTGAAGAGCTGAGGGACAGCGCCCAGGCCCAGAGTTCAGGCCCCACGACTGGACCAAAAAAAAAAAAAGGCAAAGCAAGAGTGAGTTCTCAAATTCAACCCCTCCAAATTGGCACTAAAAAGAAAAAAAATCTGGCCCCTGGTCGCTGTATGCCTTCACAGGGGAGCCTTTCCGGCCTCTTCTCGCTTCTAAAGGCCACAGGTGTTCTGGGCTCACGGCTGCATCACTGCAATGTCTGCCTCTGGCTTCTAAAGGTCCCTTACATTCCTTGGCTTACTGTGCCTTCCCCCTTTCAATGCAACGGTAGCAAGTTGAGTCCCTGTGATGTTTCAAACCTTTTTTGTTGTTGTTAGCCACGAACTCAGGGCATAGGCACTCTGCCTGAGCTTTTTCTACTCAAGGTTAGTGCTCTACTGCTTTGAGCCATAGTGCCACTTCCAGTTTTCTGGTGTTTATTTGGAGATAGAGTCTCACAGACTTTTCTACCTGGGCTGGCTTTGAACTGCAATCCTCAGATCTCAGCCTCTTGAGTTGCTAAGATTATAGGCGTGAGCCACCAGCACCTGGAGATGCTTCAAACCTTTGATCCCTTCTTCTCTGAAGCCTTCTTGTGCCTTTGCTGTCTATATTTATGGACTTTGGATTTAGATTAAACCTGCCAAGAAGTCCAAGATAAATCCTAGGATCTCAGTTCCTTAGTATTGATGATGGCTGCAGTCTCCCAGGTATGATATATATTCACAAGTTCCAGGTGTTAGGGTGTGGAAGTCTTTTCGGGGGGTCACTGTTCTTGCCTACCGTCGCTGGTGGGATAGTCAGTTATACTTGTAAGCACCTCGCTGTGTCCACAGGTGTGCTCTGCACTGTGAATCTTTCCTCTTCAGGGGAACAATGTTTTGTACGTGTGTGTCTGGAGTGAAGATAATCCTGAACATGAGTCTTCTTTTACCAGATATGTCTTGCCGTTCAAGACTCGCAACACTAAATGAGAAATTGACAGCCCTTGAGCGGAGAATAGAGTACATTGAAGCCCGGGTGAGTACCATGGGCAAGGGCTGAGGGAGAAGGCAAGCCGCCAGGCCTGTGGAATGAACCCGGGGCAGAAGCAGGCTTGGCGATGTATGGATTTAAGTCTGTGACTCTTCTATCTGTCTTGTTTTCCATTTCTTGAGTTCTAAAATAAGAGTTTTTTTGGTTTTGTTTTTTATGGATGCCTTTACTTCTGAGTAGATCTCCATGTCAGCTTTCCTTTGACAGGTGACGAAAGGTGAGACTCTCACCTAGAACTGTGCGGAGCTGCTGAGAAGTTGCTGTTGGGATCACAGGCGGCGCGGGGCCCGGCAGCTTCTGCCCCTCCCCCTCCTCCTCTCCGCAATGACAACAGGCCTTTCTCGTTTTTTCTTTTTTCAAAAGTGTGGCCTTTGGCGCTGCCGTGTACATCGGGGAGTGTGATGTGGCGTGGGGGACTGGGAAACAGCATTAGGGGTTTGTACCTTTTGAGTAACGTTTCATGAAGCTATTGTTAAATGTGGTTGAGGGGTTGAGCCGGAAGCCTGGGACTCTGTGCAGCTCCTCGCACTTCTCACTTCCAGATTTTCCTTACCGCTCTCATTGCCTCTGCACTGACTCCATCAGCAGTCCTCGTGGTCTCCTCCCCGCCGCGGTGGGCCGTGGGGGTTGGGGGCAGTCCTGGCGGTGTGGCTGCCAGCGAACGATGTTGCCAGCCCACCAGTTTCTTGTTTAAGGTCACTGCCAGGCCCTCGTGTGGCTTGAAAGGGACATTTGCCGAGTTTTCTGTCAGTTGGGGTGTCTGTACCTCTCATATTTCCCTAATAAACTCCTTAACTTTGTCTGACTGCTGTGATTGTGTTGGGAGAAGATGGGCTCAGTACTGTACACAAGCGGGATGTGTAGGCTGACTGCTGAACAGTCTTCAGATTCAAAGCCTAGGGAGCTTACCTCCCCTCCCCCCGTCCCTGTGTCTGGACTCTAGCTGCCTGACGCATCCTGGGAATCATCTGGTCATTCAGCAGACATTTATCCAGTGCTTACTGTGTAGGCGCGTTATACTCTAATAACTGATGCAGCATTCAGTCAGACATGATGCTTACAGCCTGTTGAAATAGCAGTATCCACACAATTTAACTACAGTCCAGAGCAGACTAGTTTATGAAAGATGTACCAGTGCTTACACCTGTAAACCTAGCTACTCATTAGGCAGGAGGTCTCAGGATCCCAGTTCGAAACCAGCCTAAGCAAGAAAGCTTTAGAGACTCTTGCCACCAGTTGGGAGTGGAGCTGGGCTCAAGTGGTAAAGCGCCATCCTTGAGTGATAAAGCTAAGGGACAGGGCTGGGAAGGTGGCTCAGTGGTAGAGCGCTTGCCTTGCATGCCTGAGGTCGTGTTTGATCCTCAGCACCACATAAGAAAAAAGAAAAAGCCGGAAGTGGCGCTGTGGCTCAAGTGGTAGAGCGCTAGCCTTGAGTTGAAGAGCTGAGGGACAGCGCCCAGGCCCAGAGTTCAGGCCCCACGACCGGACCCCCCCCCCCAAAAAAAAAAAAAAGCTAAGGGACAATGCCCATGACCTGAGTGGAAGCCCCAGTTACCTATTCAAGTAAGTATGCACATTCACCAAAGATAGATGTATTTCCTTGAAAATACTGTAGTTTAAAGATTCTTGAGCCCGGCCCAAATGGCTCTTCTTGTAATCCTAGCTACCCAGGAGGCTTGAGATCAGGATCATTGTTCAAAGACCTTGGGCAAGAAAATGGAGGTGTGGCTTAAGTGGTAAAGGGCCAACCTCAAGGCAAAAAGCCAAATGGGACCTTGAGGCCCTGGGTTCAAGCCCCAGTACTAGAAAATTGTGTTGGGTCCTCTTCCCTGGGTTCAGCCCACATTGTTCACTTCAGCCTTTCCTCGGTAAGAAAGATAGTGTGTCAGACTCCTGTTTTCTTTTTTTTTGGTCGGTTGTGGGGGCTGAGCTCTGGGCCTGGGTGCGGTCCCTCAGCTCTTCAGCTCAAGGCTAGCGTTCTACCACTTGAGCCACAGCGCCACTTCCAGCTTTTTTCTGCTTATGTGGTGCTGAGGAATCGAACCCAAGGCCTCATACATGCGAGGCAAGCACTCTACCACTGAGCCAACTTCCCAGCCCCAATCCCTGTTTTCATATTTAAGAGAAATGAGCTGTTTTGAGTCAGTCTTCAAAAGAGCTTCATTACACATTTCCTTTCTTCTTTTTTTTTTTTTGCTGGTTGTGGAGCTTGAACTCTGGGCCTGGGCACTGTCCTGAGCTCTTCAGCTCAAGGCTAGCACTCTACCACTTGAGCCATAGCACCCACTTCCAGCTTTTTCTGTGTATGTGGTGCTGAGGAATCGAACCCAGGGCCTCACGCATGCAAGGCAAGCACTCTACCCCTGAGCCACCTTCCCAGCCCCACACATTTCCTTTTCTATCCCATTGTTAATCCACTTACTGAAAAATAAAGCATTTGAACTAGTGAGCTGTGTTTGAACACTAAGCTTGAGGAGTGTAACTCAAGTGGTAGAGCATCTTCCAAGCAAGTGTGGAGCTTTGATTTCAAACCCCGGTATCTCCCCCCAAAAAACTACTGGGCTTGGGCTGGGAGAATAGCTCAGTAGTTGAGAGCTTTACGTACATGAGGCTCAGGTCTAGTCCTCCCACCACAAACTAAGCTTAAACTACAGTTCAGACGCTCCTGGTTGTATGGTTTTACTCTTGTAACTCAGACCCTGCACTAGTCCTTAACCTTGTTTTACCTAGCTAAAATTACACATTGTAGTTTGTCCTTGAACTCTAAATTTTTAGAGGCATGAGATCTGAGGATCCCGGTTTGAAGCCAGCCTGAGCAAGAAAGTCCTAGAGACTTACCTCTTCCTTTGATGGTAGTGATAAAAAATTTAATTGCTTTTATGTGCGTGTCTTCAAAGGGAAGTACAAAAAGCTGGTAGTACATTTTGTCTCCAGTGACTTTGGGAGAGTGGGAGAACAAAAGCGAGGGGGAGATTTTTACATTTTCCATTCTGCTGGGCATTCATTCTAGAGACCCAAAATAGAGACAAAAGATTAGTGAGAAAACGTTTAAAGAATAGTGCAAGCCCGGTGAGCCCTGTGGCTCATGCCTGTCATCCTAGCTACTGAGGAGGCTGAGATCTGAGGATCAAGGTTCAAAGCCAGCCCCGGCAGAAAAGTCCTTGAGACTCTTATCTCCAATTAAAAGACCAGAAGTGGCGCTGTGGCTCAAGCGGAAGAGCGCAGGTACACAGCGCCCAGGCCCAGAGTTCAAACCCCACAACCCACAAAAAAAAAAGTGCAGAGGGTAGGTCAGATGAGCAAAACAGTGAAGAGATGGGCTGGGAATGTGGCTTAGGGGTAGAGTGCTTGCCTAGCATGCATGAAACTCTGGGTTCAAGTCCTCAGTACCACATACACAGAAAAAGCTGGAAATGGTGCTGTGGCTCAAGTGGTAGAGTGAAAGAACCTTAGGGACAGTGCCCAGTCCCTGAGCTCAAGGCCCAGGAATAGAGAAAAAGAGATACAGTCCAAAGAGGAAATTACGACGTTTGCTGGAGAATGGACAAGGAAGCATGTCAGGTGAAACTAGCCAGGCCCAGAGACAAATTCTCTTGTGGAATTTAGGGCAGACAAAACCTCAAACCTAAGGTCATGAGTATAAAAGGAGGGGACTGCGAGGGAAGGGGGGGCGGACGAGAATGGAGGTCGTGTGTAAGACCAAGTCGCATCGCATCGTAGATGTGTGTGGAATGGTAATGCCGAGCCCTTAGCAAACACTTGCACACCAGTAACCTTAGGGAGGGGAGGAATTTACTGCGGATCCTGCAGAGCGAGCTCTGGCCCCGCCCCCGCCGAGACCTGGCTCCGCCCTCGCTCCAGGCCCCGCCCCAGAGCCAGTCCGGGATGCACTTGCGCATGCGTGCATCTTCCAACCGCCCGTTTGCGCGCTATCCGGGTCTAGGGTGCGCACCCGCACGCAGCCAGGCCCCGCCTCGCGTCCGGCCCGCGAATCCCGAGCGAGCAGCCCGGTGGTGGTGCGGGTCCTGAGGTGATGCCCCGGAAGGCGGGTGGCGAGGAGGCGGGCGCCGAGGAGGACGGCCCGGAGGAGGTGGGCCAGCAAGAGTCGGACGCCGAGGATTCCGGCTCGGAAGAGTCGGCCCCAGAGGAGCCGCGCGCCGCAGAGATGGAGGCCGGGCGGCCTCGGCCCGTGCTGCGCTCCGTCAACTCCCGCGAGCCGTCGCAGGTCATCTTCTGCAACCGCAGCCCGCGCGTCGTGCTGCCCGTGTGGCTCAACTTCGACGGCGAGCCGCAGCCCTACCCGACGCTGCCGCCGGGCACCGGCCGCCGCATCCACAGCTACCGAGGTAGGAGGCCGCCGCCGGGCTCCGCGCCGGGCCCCGCCTCCGCCGCCCGCCCCTGCGCCTCCCGCGGCCCGGGCGGCGCGGAGGCCCGGAGGCGGAACGGCCCGCGTCCACGCTGTCTGCCGGCGCCGCGCACGCGCGCTGCCCTTCCAGCGCTGGGAGCCTGGGCGCCGCGCCCCGAAGTCCCGGCGCTCCGGTCCGGCCTTCGCCGGACCACTGGCCCGCCGGGGAGGCGGACGGGCGCCGGGCGGTGTCACAATCGCGGCGTTGGGCGCCGGGAGGCGTGGCCGCCGCCGACCCCGGAGAGGCGTGGGGAGGGGGCGTCGGGGCGGTGGGTGTGCGGGTTCTGAAAGTGCGGTAAAAACCCGGGGTGAGATGACTGGGATTGACCTGACCAGACCTGAGTGGCGGTGGTGATCTTCTCGCGGCCCTTGCACGGACTGATCTAGAAGCGTGATCTTGCCCCCCTCCAAGCCGTGCACCCAACTGGTTAATGATTCTCAATCTTTTTTTGGGGGGGGTGTCCGGTCGTGGAGCCTGAACTCTGGGTCTGGGCGCTGTCCCTCAGCTCTTCAGCCCAAGGCTAGCGCTCTATCACTTGAGCCACAGCGCCACTTCTGGCTTTTTTCTTTTTGCTTATGTGGTGCTGAGGAATCGAACCCAGGGCCTCAGGCATGCAAGGCAAGTGCGCTATCACTGAGCCACCTTCCCGGCCCACAATGATTCTCAATCTTAATTAAAAAATTTTTTTTTCCATTTTCGTGTTGGTCCCGGTGCTTGAACTCAGCCCGGGTGCTGCCCTGAGCCTTCTCACTCAAGGCTGGCACTCTGCCACTTGAGCCACAGCTCCATTTTTCACTTTTTATTTTTTTTGAGGGGAGGGATAGTTTATTGCAAGTACGAATCTCATGTAGGTTTCCTGCTGGGACTAGTTCTCAACCACGATCTTCAGATCTCAATCTCCTAAGTAGCTAGGATTACAGTCAAGAGTCACCAGAACCCAGCCTCTTTTTTTTTTTTTTTTTTTGCCAGTCCTGGGGCTTGAACTCAGGGCCTGGGCACTGTCCCTGAGCTGCTTTTGCTCAAGACTATTACTCTACTACTTGAGCCACAGCCCCACTTCCAGCTTTTTCTGTTTGTGTGGTACTGAGGAATTGAACCCAGGACTTCATGCATGCCAGGCAAGCACTCTACCACTCACTACGCCACATTCCCAATTCCTGGATTATACACTTAAAAATAGTTAAAATTGAACTGGAGCCTGTGGTTCATGCCTGTAATCCTAGCTACTCAGGAGGCTGAGATCTGGGATTCTGAAGCCAGCCTGAGCAGAAAACACCCTGGGTAGAGCTGTGGCTGAAGTAGTAGAGCACTAGTTGAGCAAAAATGCAAAGGCTAGGTTATGAGTTAAGCCCCAGTACCAAGACACACACACACATACACACACACACACATAT